TATGGACTAATCTATGGCCTAGTCTATGGCCTAGTCCAATAACTAGTCTATGGACTAGTCCAATAACTAGTCTATGGACTAGTCTATGGCCTAGTCTATGGACTAGTCTATGTCCTAGTCTATGGACTTGTCTATGGCCTAGTCTATGGCCTAGTCTATGGACTAATCTATGGCCTAGTCTATGGACTAGTCTATGGACTAGTCTATGGACTAGTTTATGTACTAGTCTATGGACTAGTCTATGTACTAGTCTATGGACTAGTCTATGGACTAGTCTATGGCCTAGTCTATGACCTAGTCTATGGCCTAGTCTATGGACTAGTCTATAGCCTAGTCTATGGAATAGTCTATGGCCTAGTCAATGGACTAGTCCACAGACTAATCTATGGACTAGTCCACAGACTAGTCTATAGATTAGTATATTAAAACTATTATATGGACTAGTCTACTGACTAGTCTATGGACTAGTTTATGGCCTGGTCTATGGACTAGTCTACTGACTAGTATACTGACATATCTATGTACTAGTCCACCAACTAGTCTACTGACTAATCTATGAAGTAATCTACTGACTACTCTATGGACTAGTCTACTGAGTTGTCTATGGACTAGTCTTCTGGCTAGTCTTCGGATTAGTCTATGGATTAGTCTATTGACTAGTATATGGTTTAGCCTATGGACTAGTCTATGGGCTAGTTTACTGACTATTCTATGAACTAGTCTACTGACAATTCTATGGACTAGTCTACTGACTAGTTCTTTGACTACTCTATATACGAATATAGCGAGTAACTAGTCCTTTGATTAGTCCTTGGATTAGTTAATAGATTACTCTATTATTAATATATTTACTATTCTATATACCGGTATATTGACCAGTTCATAAACCAGTAAGTTGACTAGTCTACGGAATGGTATATGTACTAGTATATTGACTAGTCTACGGACTAATCCACCTACTAGTCTATTGACTGGTCTATGGAATAGCATATGGACTCGTCTACGGAGTAGTATATTGATTAGTCTATGAACTAATCTATTAACTAGTCCATAAACTGATCTACGGACTAGATCTTTGACTTAACTACTTTATATACTTATCTAGTTCTGAGAGTACCTAGTTCTTGGATAAGTATATTGACTTAGTCTATAAAATACTCTATTGTTAGACTAGACTATGGACTAGTCCATAAACCTGTCTATTGACTAGTCTATGGAATAGCCTATTGACTAGTCTTCGGACTAGTCTACAGACTAATCTACTGACTAGTAAATGAACTAGTCTACAGACTACTAATTACTTTATTATTAGTCTATTGACTATTCTATTGAATAGCTTATGGACAAGACTATTGTATCAGTTTATAAACCAGTCTATGGACCAGACTATTAACCAGTTCATAAACCAATCTATGGGCCAGACTATTGACCAATTCATAAACCAGTCTATTAACTAGTGTATGTTCTAGTCTCATAACCATTCTGTGAACTTGTATCTTGACAAGTCTAAGGACTAACATTTTGATTACAAAAATGTCGTTATATATATTGTAGAAGAGGTGCATTCGTATTATAATTTCCTATAAAATTTAGTTTGGTTCAACGTTTAAAAATTGCCAATGGCTGCTCTATAATTGTATAATGCCTTACAAATTATTCAAAATTCTATTTTTAAAATCTATGCGCAATTTTTATTTTTAAAATTATCTTTAAAATTTATTGTTAAACTACTTTATTTAGACTGTAAATAATTTCCTTGAAATTATTATTAAATAATTTTATGATTAAGCCAAATAATTGCTAATGTCTATAAAAACAATTATAAGTAGGTTGTTAAAAAGTACTTTGACTTATAGAAAAATGTGATTTACGTTTTTTAATAAAAAAAATTTTAGCATTTTATTATAAAACAAATTAATAAAATAAGGAAAATATAATAAACTAGTTATTACTGGTGTTTATATTTCTCACACAGTTGCATATGCAAATAGTATTTTAAAAATTGTTGCTATTTTCTATTTTTTTTTATAAATTCAGTCTTTATTTTAAAATTTACAACCAATACTTTATGCCACAACATTTGTAATCTGCCATTAAAATGCGCCATTTCCTTTTTTTTACTAATCAGCTCCACCATAGTTACGTCAAAGCGGTTATTTTTATTAATTAAAATCACTTTCATTTGCAAAAAAAAAAGTACTGATAAAAAACTAAATTAATATTGAACTAAATTTCAAAATAAATTTAAATATCTTGGAGCATAAATAAAGCGACATTAGACTTTTTAATCGTAGACTAAATGAAAGAAATTTCTTATCTAAATGTGCAAATTTATTTTGTATCAGATTTTCTTTTTTTTAATTTAATTAAAATAAATTCTAATTTTTCCAAAATATTCTATAGGTATATTTTTTGTTTTATGTTGGAACTAGGAAATAAATAAAATTGTTAATTTTAAAAGCAGTTGATTTGCTGGCTTGATAATAGTATTTTAATTAAATTGTTATAAACAAACAGTTATAGAAAGAATAATTTTTTTATAACTATAGTTTTATGTTTATTTTTTAAAATTGCGATAAATGTTAAAGTTTATCTAAAATACACTCATAAATAAATATTCGTAATTAACAAAATTTATTTTGTTTACAAGTTTATATCTTAACATTTGTTGGAAAATAGCTGGTATTTGTAGAAATTTAGGCAATTTGATATTAGTCCCAAAACTGGTCTATACTACTCCTTGATGGATGCAGTTTTGAGTTTTCAGCTTGAAGCTAAGTTGTTGTAAAACTATTGAACTAATTATTTACTAAAATTTTTTTACAAGTGTACTATTTTTTGAAAATTAAGACAATTTTCTTTATCATTACAAACATGTCAATTTATTGGGTATTTATTTGTCCAATTTTAATGATCATAAATTGTTAACGTACGTACGTTTTTCATTTGTTTCCTTTTAAATGTTAAGAGTCAATAAATATCGTTATAAAGGTATTAATTATTGATTACAATAAATAATTTTGATTGATTTTTAAGAAACTTCATAAGAAATATATAGGAAAAGTTTATTTTTTTATAAAAATGTTATCGTATTATTTACGCAGTTTTTTTGAAGCAAATTTTATAAAAGTTTAGAAAACAAACAAGTCCGCAATTTGATAATAATTGTTTTTAATTTTTTTTTAAATTTAGATTTTAGTAAAAATTGGAATTTTTAGTGATAATTGTAGAATTTCAGTGAAAATTTAAATTTTTTCATTAAAAATTTATATTTTTATTGAAAACTTGGAATTTTTGTGAAATTTTCTATAATTTGTGAAAAATATACAATTTTATCGAAATTTTATAATTTTTTGTAAAAATTTGCATTTTGTTGAATTTTTCTGAAAAATAGACTTTTAGAAATTTTTTTTTGAATTTGTTTATTTTATTCAGTGAAAATTTACAATTTCGCTGAAATTAATTTTTGGTTAAATTTGAAAATTAAGAGAAATTTTAAATTTTACTTAAAATTTCGAATTTCCGTTGAAATCTTGGATTTTCAGTCAAAATTTGGATATTTAGTAAAAAAATTAATTTTTAATACAAATCTTAAATTTTTTATTAAAAATTTAATTTTTAATAAAAATTTTAAATTTTTTATAAAAACTATGAAATTTTTATTAAAAATTTTAAATTATTTATTAACAAGTTGAAATTTCTTATTGAAACTTGAAATCGTATTAGGTTAAGTTAGGTTGATAAGAGGATGTATACTACATCAAATCCGAAGAATGTTATTTCCGGAATAACATCACTTCCAAGATACTTGGATCTAACTTCGACGAATGCCTGACAATGGCAAAGAAAGTGCTCCAGAGTTTCACTGTCCTCTCCACATGCTCTACATTCGTCTGAATCCGCACGTCCAATTTTGTATAGATGTGCACGTAATCCTGTGTGTCCACTCAGAATACGTACCATCATACTAACCTCAGACTTGCTCATTTTGAGGAGATTTCTCGTCTTGCTCTCATCAGGGTTACCCCATAGTATCTTTGTGGTTCTACCCACCTTTTCATTATTCCAAGAGGGCTTATGGGATTCTTTCATCCATATTTTTAATTCAGCTCTTGTTGCGTCGAATGGTTTTGCGTTTGTCAGTTTAACTACATCGAGCTCCCTTCCCTTTAATCGTATTAAAAATTTTAAATTTTTTTATAAAATATATGAAATTTTTATGAAAAATTTGAAATTTTTTATTAAAAATTTGAAATTATTAATTAACAACATGAAATTTCTTATTCAAAATTTGATATTTTTATTAAAAACTTGAAATCGTATTGAAAATTTAAAATTTTTTTATAAAAATATGAAATTTTTATGAAAAATTTGAAATTATTTATTAAAAACTTGAAATTTCTTATTCAAAATTTGATATTTTTATTAAAAACTTGATCTCGTATTAAAAATTTTAAATTTTTTTATAAAAAATATGAAATTTTTATGGAAAATTTTACATTTTTATTAAAAATTTGAAATTATTAATTAACAACATGAAATTTCTTATTCAAAATTTGATATTTTTATTAAAAACTTGAAATCGTATTGAAAATTTAATTTTTTTTTATAAAAAATAAGAAATTTTTATGAAAAATTTTAAATTTTTTATTAAAAATTTGAAATTATTTATTAACAACTTGAAATTTCTTATTCAAAATTTATTATTTTTATTAAAAATTTGAAATTGTATTAAAAATTTAAAATTTTTTTATAAAAAATATGAAATTTTTATGAAAAATTTGAAATTTTTTATTAAAAAATTGAAATTTGTTAAAAACTTGAAATCTTATTCAAATTTTAAAATTTTTTATTAAAAATATGAAATTTTTTATTAAAAATATGAAATTTTTTATTAAAAATATGAAACTTTTTATTAATAACTTGAATTTTTTTATTAAAAATAAAAAACGATGAATTCGAAAATAAAAAAACCTTTAATTTCATTTTTTTAATTTTTTTATTTATTTAATATTTTCATGTTAAATAGTTTTTTGTTTAACTTTTTTTTCATTTTCAGACTTGTAATAGTAGCATTTATAAATGTTTAGTTGCTTTTTTTCAAAAAGTCATTATTTTCATGATTTCAAAAAAACCCTAAAAAGTAAAAATAATTAAGTAAATACTTAATACTAAAATAATAGAAGAGATTACTTGTAAAGTTAGTTATAGTATTGTAAAGTAAATAAGAATAGTTAAATGTTTTGCAAGATTTATCACAAATTAAAAATTGATAAAACGAAATAATATCAAGAAAAATAAAGCAAAAAAAATGGAAGCTATATAATCAAAGAATTCTTCATATGTATACTTTTTACAAGTATAATTGTTATAAAAAATATTTTAAATAATTAAATAAATATAACATTTCTTAAAAAGAAGTTGGCAATGTTGACGAATAATTGTTTTTTTTTTTTTTTTTAATAAAATTTAAAAATGAAAAATAAAAAAACACCTTAAAATGTTATTTAAAAAAATGTTATTAACTAAAAATTGTATTCAATATTTTAAATAGTTTTTGATTTGTTGTCTACCCAATGTTTGAAAAAATTTTCAATAAGAAAATTTTTCATACATTCCCTCATATCTCTATTTCCTTTTTGTTAACATCTATACTTGTTTTTAAAAAACTATAGATTGATTTTTGAAACCCACTTTGTTCTCTACATTCTCATACCACATTAAGTAGCGTTAGTTTCCTTCTAACTTAGTTTTATATAATTTTTCCTCTTCTTTTTAATTTTCTAATAAATATATTGCTTATAAATTTTTGTGTCTTTTTTGTTATAGGTCTCCTTAATGTTGCATTCCATCATTCACTCATACATACATTCGTTCGTTCATTTAGTTAGTGTTTACATTTCTCAATATTTTGATTGTCTAATATCTGGGTTTAATGGGCTTAAAATACCACTGTTGATAGCCATCATTAACATCACAGTGGGCCAAAAATAGCTGTTGAGTGGTGGGATGTAAGGCCATACATTTCTTATGGGCACGATGCAGCAAATGTTTTGTCTGTTCATTATAACTCCAGGGTCCATCTACGGTACCCAAACGGCAGACAGCCAATTTTATACCTTGACGATCGGCTTCTACACAACGTTCACCTACGCCCAATTGTCCAGCAGCATTAAGTCTTATTAGTTGATTATTACCACCACCATGGCAATGAGACAAGCCCATAATTGCTGGGGGTTGATTGCCCATCGAATCGAGACAATTATCGGAGGCTACCGAACGCAATTCACCCCAGTGTAAATTGGCTGGTAGAGCGGGGAACTTGTCATAAACATCGTAAGCTATATTATCCATATACCATTGGAATGATTTACAATTCAAACGTTTCTTCAAGGCCAACTGTTCCGAAATATCACCCATATCCAAGAATCTAGCCAGCGGCTCTCTGGTATAGAAATACTCCTTGTGTGTTTCATCAAACCAAGTCTCAATGACACGTTTATAATTAATGGTTATTAAGGGACCCTTCTTTTTCTGTGCCAATTTGCCGAAATTGTAAGGCATAAAGCCACGATATACATGACCCACATGTGAACAAGGCACCCATTCAATACTGCCACCACACTGCCAAATTTTGAAACTTAATTCGAAATTCTCACCACCCCATACCAGAAGACCAGGATCGTAAGCTCCCAATTCTAAGAAGTATTCACGATTGATGGCAAACAGCCCACCAGCATGAGTGGGACTGCGATAGGGTTCAGAATTGTGTTGTCTACGACGTTGCTCACGCTTTGGCACCTCATTCTCTTTGTACAGCATGCCCCATTCGAAAATACCGCGGAAATGATTTTCACTACCATATACAGAGCGATATTCAAAGGTTTTATAATCAATACCATCAATAATGGGCACTGTCATTACGGTACGATCGCGATAGATGGGAGCCAATAGTGGTGGCAACCAGTTAATGTTAACTTCGCAATGGGCATCTAAGAAGACTATAACTTCACCTGAAAGAAAATTGAAGAATAAAATTCAAAGTTAATTTCTTTACTCTTGAAAATTGAAAACATATTTTAAAATCTTAAATAGGTATTTTATTACAAAATAACAAATGACTTACCTGTTGCCACCGAAGCACCTCTAGATCTGGTACGTATCAAACCTTCTCTCTCTTTGTTTCGCACCAATTTTACCAAACCATTAAACTGTTCAATATATTCATCCAATTTTTCCTTAAGATTCTTTTTGTCCGAGTAATCATCCACCAGAACAATTTCATGCAAAACATGCTTGGGAGAACGATCTATCACAGAATGGACGGTACGCATTAGCACAGAAAATCCTTCATTATGAAAAACAATAATAACACTAGTCTTGGGTAAATCATAGGGATAATTCCAATGTCTACACTCCTCTAGACGTGTATCACGCACACTGCGATGCATAGAGATTTCATCGGAACAGGCTATATTCATGCCATATTCCATTTCTGATTCATCAGCTTCATTTTTCTTGTGGGCCGGCAAATGATGAGCTTCGCCATTTTCACCCGGCCCCACACGATCTTCTAAATGTTGGGGCTCAAAGTTGCCTAAACCTGTTAGTCATTAACATAAACAAATGCTTATCAATTAAATGCATAATGTAAAGTAAACACAAGTGTTTTCTCTTTGTTTCACATAAACAAACGAACACAATGCGAATATGTACACTACTAACCTTCTACTAAAACGGGTACTTCTTTGGGTCTACCCTCAAGACGCTGATAACTGCGACGGCCAGAGCCGAACTTGGCTTGATATGCTTCTTGCACACGCTTGTGGCTATCGCTCCAAGTGGTTAATAAATACAGCAGTGGCAAAATGACCATACACACAAGGGCCAAACGGCACATGCGTCCGCTGCGTATATTGCTGATACGCATTTTTCACAGCACTCTAACTTTCCTCAGGAAATTGGTTGTAAATTAATATTTTTAACTCACTTCTATCGAAGATTTAACCACGACAAAGAAAGTGTCATTTACTTTCATACAGAATCTTGTCGACGTGTCTTTATGCCAGCCTGCCTGTAACCAAACAACGTTATTATAGCCGCCTTCAATACAAGAAGCAGCAGCAGCAATAACAACAGAAGTAATAAAATATACAATTTTCAATAGTCGGTCGGTTGCTTGTTCTTAAAATCGTTTACTTATTCTTCACACACCGAAATAGACACAATAACAATTTAAGAAAAAACAACAATATTACTATACCATCAATTCCATACTTTTCTAAGCCAGCTTGTAAATAGACGATCCAACAATACTAGATGAATGAATGAACAACAAATAAATGCCGCAAAAAATAAAAAAATAAAGTTTGTTTAAAATGTCATGAAAAGAAAATCACATCATCGTAAACAGAACAACTTTATTCAACCGCATTTTATTTTTCAATATGTGGTAGGTTTTATCAACCGCAGTCATAACATGTGTTGTGGTGAAATGAAATTTAACTAAAGTGTTGTATTATGCAATTTTAAAGTTTATTTTCGAATTTTCAAAAGAAAACAAAAACATTTTAATTTTTCTTTTCATCAAAAAAATAAGATTTACAAAATCTGTATGAAAAAAAGAAAATAAAAATTGCCGCCTTACACAGCCGCTAGTAATTTCGTCAGGAGCAACAGTAATGCCAAGTGTTGGAATGTTTCCCATTTTTTTGAGATTTTCGTTCTAATAAAACTGATTTAAAAATAATTTTGAACACAATAGTCTTTGTTCTTCTAACTACAAACATGGAAACATAATTTTTCTGCTCTATTCAGGTCCGGGAGTTATAAGCCTTCAAAGTTTTTATATATAATTGGACATATTTCGTTAAAATATTAATTAATTTTTAAGAATTTTTTATCCATCCCTGCATAATTTCCCACACAACTTTTGAGCTTGCTCTGTTTCGTTGTTATAAACAATATATTTGCTTCCAAAATCCCACTTTCTGATCTCTCGGACTCCGTTTTTATTTCAAATCATTGAAAATTTAAAAACTAAACGTAATTGAAAACTTAGCCGGCTTTCAGTTGACTTTAAGCCGCCGCCGACATTTTTAGTGTCAGTCGCCACCTCCGTTAATATTTGTCGGCGCAGGGCTCTGACAAGCACTCATTCAAAAAAATATTGTTGTTGTGTACTTGGGGGGTTGTTTTTTTTAAATTTGTATTTCTCTTATTGTTAGAGTTATGGAATTTGAATGCATTTTCTGGCACGAGTTCTAAAATCTATTGCAACTAATATCTGTACATCTGCATAACATATTTCTAAAACACAGCTGTTAATTTTGTCATTGATAAGATAGACGTGCAGCTAAAAATTAATTTTTAGTTTAACATACGCAAACTATTATGGACAATTGTTCAAAACATACAAAGCGTGGCTTACCGAATACCCCACGCGTTAGTGATAAAATTATGGAATATTATCAGAAATTTGGGCACGATCGTGATTTAGAGAAATTTATGCGCCTCTATTCTCCGGCCAGTAGTCAGGATAGTCAAAAGACTCAGGGAGGTGATTGTGGAGCTAGTATAGAATCCTGCTGTAAGCGCACCAAAAGTCGGGAAACAATTTCTTCCACTAGCAGCAGTTGTGAAGCCTTAGCTATGATGCCGTCTAGACCGTTGAGTGTCTGTGGTGCAATTAATAGTAAAAGTTTACCCAATATTGATGTACAAGCGCAGGCTATTGGTGGAGAAGCACATTTACCTTCTAAAGCTGTTGTTGTGGATATAAATATTGAAACAGAGGGTGATAAAGAAAAGGTACGATTTTTTTTTTACAAAAGTAGCTTGTATTTTAAATAACGTGGCAAAATATTTTAATTAAATTTATTTTTCTTAATTTACAAAAATTATCTCATCTACTTTAGATTATAAGCATATCTACAGAAAATTTACACACCCCTAAGAAAAACTTTAAAAACATCAAAACGCAAACACCAGAATCAATTGCTAAAACACATAGACGTCTAGAGTGGGATTCACTTGGTGATGTTGGCTATATAAAATCTATGTCTACTAGTAATATAAGTGTTATGGAAAGATCTTTACTTAGGGAATTCTTTAAAGAAAATAGTGTTGTTTCTGAACCGGGAACTTCCATAGCAGTCAAAAAAGTACAAGAACTTATAACAGAAGAACATAAAACTATAAAAAAACTAAAAGCTACTGAAATTGAACATAGCACACCGCCCTTAGCCTGTAGTACTTTAGTGGAAACTACCAAAAGGGGAGCAAAACCCAAAATGATATCACAATCTACATCATCCACTTCGCTAAATGAGAAATTTGAAAAATATGCTCAAACATCTATAATAAAACCACCAACATTACATTCGCAAGAAATACAATGTAGCATGTCTTCTGTAAATTCCATAATAGAGGGAACAGCTACTCCCTCCAGTTTTGAATACTGTTCATCAAGATCATCTAAATCACGTACATCTAAATCATCGGATTATGTCATTAAAACTGATGCCCAAAAGCATGTTAACCAATCGGAACATTCCTTTATAAATAGCATAACAGAACTGCTAATGAAAAGAAAAGCTTTGTCGGAGAAAAATCAACAAAAACGTCAACAATTTAATAATATACGCGAACTGCAATCAAAATTTCAAACTGCATTAGATGAAAATAAAGAAAATCTATCACATTGTTCAATAGACTCCACAACGACTGCCAGCTCGTTTTCTCTAAGCAAAAAAGCACCCGAATTGGATTTAGGCATACAATTGATATGTTCACTTATCGATGCTAAAAGTGTTAATGGCAAGCAGAAAAAACAATTAATACGTGATATTGTTAAACGTATAACACGTTTAGAAGTAGGAGATGAAAGCAGCAACTCTACTACAATAAATAGTAGTGGTGGAACCATCTCCAGTGGATGCAAACAGCATCACATCTACGATTCAGTGCGTTCAAGTATAAATAAGAAACACAAACAAGGGAATATGACCAAACTAAAGGAGGAATTGGGAGTAACACCTATAACAACGGAAGAAGACATCACTAAAAGTGTAGTAGAAAAACCTACTACATCTACCAACAGTACTAGCGAGAATACAAATAAAGTTTTAGGTGAGTTTAATATTGAATTTCTTATCTCAACTGTGTTAATTTATTAATTATTTTTAATTAAAAATTTATTAGTAATTCAACCAGAAAGCAATGTCAAATCAAAGCCAGCATCTTCACCCCATTTCCAACTAAATCATGATAAAAGTTACAATTCTAAACAATTTCCATATAAAACAAAAAATCAGTGTGAAAATGCCCTTAAAGAAAATAACACTCAAGTGCCAAGTGTAGCTGCAGTAGCAGCTATAATTAACAAAGAAACTCAAAGTGAACAAACTATAACGTCGCGAAGCAAGGAGAGAAGTAAACAAATAAAATCAAAACACAAACATCATCCAGAAGCACCAGCAGCACCAGCAGCAAAAGAATCTACAACATCTATAGAAAATAAGACAAGTCGTTCCACACAAACTTCAAAAACCACAATATCTTCATCATCAGCTACGTCAGCGACCAGTACACCAGATTTGACTACTCAAAAGCTTGTTATTCCCACTAATAATGACTTAAACAACTCCAACACCGATGCTGAGCAGCCTACAATGCGTGAATGGTTGAATCCTTTGACACAATCCGAAATTGAGTATGAAGAGAAAAAACGTCAGGAAATGAAGAAAAAAGCCCAACAGGAAAAATTATTGAGAAAATCCAAAAACGATAGCGGTCGGGTACAACAATTAAACTGGATTGAAAGTGAAATAAAACGACTCGAGTCCTTAAAACATCTTTTGCTTAAAGATGAAACCAATGAAAGAAGTTCTACTACTGTGTCCAGTCTTGACCTCACTACACATAATAATGGAAACCTAACCAAGGACTCTACACACACAGATAAATTGTATGATACTGTGTACTCGGACAAATCGTCGGTTTTAAGTGAAAGTGCCGAACTTTTAGTGCAAGAAATTGAAATTATATTGGAAGAGTCGCATGAAGATGTTATAAATTTGAAAGATAGTTTAAAACGAAGCAAAGATCGTAAAAAAGAAATACAAATAATGTATGAAAAGGGAGTAGACTCATCGTCAAACGAAAATTGTACAAAATCTAAACCCAAATTCCGTACTCTAAGAGAATGCATTAACATCAATGAAGAGCAACTGTTAAACGTTAAGGAAAAGGGTGGAAGTGGCAAACAACGTCAACAAAGAGAAAAAATTGATACACCCAGTACGGAGAAAAGTCAAGAATCAGAAAGTTTAAGAGATTTAGTACAACAAAGAAAACGTGATTTTATGGCAGCTTATAAAACAAAAAAACAACATCATTATGAAACTCTTAAGCAGCAACAGAAGGAAGATTTCAAATATTTGAATATACAACGTCAAATGCATGAAAAAATTGCCACAACGACAGATTCCGAACATTATTCAGTGCCCCACACATTGCCCAGAAAATACGTTTCGAATGATGTATCTTATGCCTATACACAGCAACCCTTACCGTTGACACCAAACGAAAGAGAGGCTAAAGTAAAACCACACATTCCTCAGCGTTATAATGTTATCTATAGCACAGCAGCATCAGGAAATCTGCAGAATAATCAACACCTGCCATCATGTGTTCAAACGTTTAATAAAGAAACTAGTAATACCACTGCTGCCAATACAAATACCACAACTACTTCTTCATCTTCCATGTTTTGCATGTCTTCAGATGTCTCCGTGCCAATGGGTTCGCAAAATACATCCTCCACTCCCACTACTACCCATCAATATGATGATGTCGCTGCAGCAGCTACCGGAGTTGGAGTTGCAGTACAAACTTCAGACTCCATACTTCGTTCAAAGCCCATCTATGGACCTAAACGTCCCTCACCTATAACAATGCCTTACAATGTGGCATCCTCAACAACTACAGCCTGTATACAAGTTAAGCCCAAAGGTATTGCGTACATCATTGAATTTTCAGACAACAAAGCACAAACATCAAATTCTACTTCCAATACGGACATAAATTCAAATGATTTGCATGCAAAATCCAATGAAATAGCAAATAATTTACCCAGCGAGCCCCAACTGACGCTACAGGAACATTTAGAAAAAAGTAAACCAAAATTTTTACAACAATCAAAAGAACGTAAAGCCATACTCAATCAGTTGCAAGCTATGCGTCAGGAACGCGATCGTCAATTAAGAGACATAATCGATAACACAAGTTTCAATTCATTGGAGAGACGTTTACAATATTTACCACCACCTCCCATACGTAAGCACGGCATATAAATAATATTTTGATATTAATATTTAAGGTAATTAATAATTTTATTTATAGAGAAAGTACGTATTCTTAATACCAAGGAAATGAAGGCTCTTACCAATAAACGTTTCTCCAGTTTACCCGAAGTTATAGCCAGACAAGAACGCGAACTTGAAGAGAAAAAACGTCGTGGTAATCGTATTTTAAGAGATGTTTTTAATAGGGTAAGTAAATAAACGAGACATGTTTTTCATTGAATTAAAAACTTGTGAAAACTAATCAAGTTTAATTTAATTCCTCTTTAGCGTCTACAAAAGCGTGTACGCAGTGGAAAATTATCATTAAATCACAGCAGAACTGTAATTTAAAATCCGATAATAACGGTAATTCAATATAAGGAATTATTGAAGCAATATTGTTGCAGTATCTTATATATCTCGAATTATATATCTTTTCAATACTTTTATTTTCGATCATTATTTTTTATTTAAAAAAAAAATATTTTAGAAAATTGTTATAGACACCCAGTTGTTAGATTAAACAATAAATTTACCTAATATTAGTATATAAAATTTGTTATTAAAAATATAATTAATAAATTAAAATTTATAGAAATTTATAAAAATCTATATAAAAGAGTAAAGTTTTTTTCGTAATCGACAAACCCAGCAATTAATGAGGCAAAATTTCAAATGTTCCAGGGGTCGTGAGAAGTTTTCCTTTGAAGTTCTAAATTAATCCGATAGATATCGTTTAAGTTGTAAATGTAAATCGTTGAACCGATAACTTTGTAGAAAACGCGGGTCAGGTTCAGCTTTTATATTTTATTTTTTTTTTTTTCGATTCTTATTGCGAAGTGGATTAGGGTTTGTCATTCGATTTGTTTGTGAAATTTTCATCGAATATATGATTTCACCAAAAATTTTTCAAAAAAAAAGTCCGTATTTTTACAGACTCTCCGATTTTAACTAAAGATAAGAAAGATTTTCTCCAAAATGTCAAATTTTCTAAATTTTTTGTTTTGACTCAAAATTCAAATTTTCATTAAAAATTCCAGTTTTCATTAAAAATTCAAATTTTCACCAAAAAATTAAATCTTTACTAAAAATTTAAATTTTCACTAAAAATTTAAATTTTCACTAAAAATTTAAATTTTCACTCAAAATTTGTTCACTATAAAATTAATTTTTTCTATAAAATTAGAATTTTTCCCAAAACAACTTCATTCAATGCCCAACAAAAACACATTTCAATAATTTTGTTTAAGTATTTTGTTAATATTTCTTTTATATTTTTATTATAATTGCTCATTGATTTTTTATTTTCGTTAAATATAATCAGATGATATATTAATTTAAGTTTAATTTGTTTTAAAGTTTTAATAAATGTTTTTTTTTATATAATTGTTTAAAATATTTGGGATTAAACACATGACATATAGAATTTTCTAATAACATTTGCAAAAACCAATTTTCATCATTCAAAATATAATTAATTATAAATATATTTACTAGCAGAAGCTTTTATTTGTTTTTTTCTTTATTTGAATATTTAACAATTTAGTGTTTAAACTTTTAGGTTGCTGTGTAACTTTTAACAATGCTATACATACAATTCCTGGTGTTTGTTGGTGTCTTTATGTTGTTTTTTTCAGAGGTTTTGAGTGCGCTATTCCTGTCAGAGAAAGTGTCTAGGGCAAAGAATATAATGGCAATAAAAAGGAATATTATGATACAATTCGTTGAATGTAAATACTACTTGATAGTTTTATAACTTATAAACTAATAATTGAATGTCTAAACACACCACACGGAAGAGGAAGTATGTAAACATATTTTACAATAATTTCAAAAGACCATCTTGTAGCAACCGAAAAAGTTTTGTTAAAAACATTTATACGTTTATTTTGTGTGGAATGTCTAACGAGGATTCTTTCAAAGTAGAAGATAGCTATTAAGCCTTTATCTAGCTAGATTTATGTAAAGTTTCAATTGTTTTATTCAGCTCACACGAAATGAGATCATTTCATTATTGAAGTGTATTCAAACACATCTTACACAACTTTAGTGTTATTGTTAGGGAAATCTCGGAATAGGCGAGTGTATAATAAATAATTAGTAGTAGTTTTTAGAAAATGAAGTTTAATAGAGACCGATTTGAAGCATATCCTAGCGATTTTTAACGTTTTATTGCTCAACTTAATTAAACAAAAATGTTTAGTTTCCTTTTAATCTTATGTTTTTCTCTTGGTGATTAAATGTAACTGTCTGTGGTTTTACTGTAAATATTCATAATAATTAAGCTATTTTGCATTGGATAATTAAGTAATTTAATTTTGTAATAAATAACATTTCTTTTTGTTTTCTTGTTTGTTTAATAAAATTTGTCGATTATTTTTTCTTTTAGTATTTGGATTAATTTGTTTTGTCTTTTAACTTACAATAATGTCATTATTATAGAACTTTGTTTAAATTCAGAAAACAACGTTGAGCTCAACAATGGACATGTTCAAACTATTGCGAAGTAGTTAGTGTTTGCCTACCATATCCAAACCACCTTCTTCCTCCATTTTCGTAAGGAATTTTATAGCACGATGTTGTGGCTCTGTCTGACGTGCCATATCGATGAGGGCTAGCAATTTCTTTATACCAATAAATACTCTACACATAAATAAGAAAATATGTTGTAATAATCATTAACAATGAAAACAAATTATAAAAAAAAAAACGTACCGCTTGCCCGACATTTTCTTGCCAATGGCTTGTAATTCACCCTTGCTAAAGATGTCAGCATCTTCTAATACAGCCAACACATGTTCGGGATGAGAAAGATTAGGTACGTGTAGAACAGAAGTAAAGGCTGATAACATTTCCATTTCCTCCAAAACCTCACTGGAAAAGCAATACATTTGCATTAACACTTACATGGAAGACTTACAAAAAGTTTACATACCGTCTGCTGGAAGTTACTAAAATTAATAATTTACGCCCCTTTGGTGGTTGTTTCTTGAGGAGCACCAATAATGCTTGCAAAGTTAAATTAGAATAACGTGGACCAATGGGACCGTAATCTAACAAACGTTCAACATTATCCACTACAATACAACTTAACATCGAACGATAAGCATCATCGAAAATCTAACAAATTTAAATACATTTTTAGTTAATAATAAAATAAACCACATTCATATGTATATTATTTCTTAATTTCTCACCTTACGTATATGTAAGCACTTGGCTGATTCGGTATAACCCACCATATCTTCGGGAGAGCAAACCTTAACAAATGGAAAATCTGACATTTTAGCCAATTTAGCAGCTAAAGCAGATTTACCCGAATTTGGAGAACCTTCAATCAACACTGACACTAAACCAGAGCTTTCTGTGGCTCTAGCTTGTTGCACATACAGCATACCATCTTCCAAAATATTAGCCACAGGTTGACCCCAATTGATAATGCCTCGGGAAAGCATATTTTCCAAGATTTCCATTGCGGTACCAAATGCCGGTTTGATATCATTTTCTAAAGCGTGCAAGAAGTCAGAACGAGTAACCTTTAGCTTCTCCATAGCCTCAGGATCAACAGTTACTTTAGCATCAGCTTTAATCAGACGATTCATGGCTGTAGACTGAGCAGCACGTACCAAACCTTCCAATTCGGCACCACTAAAGTTTTTAGTAAGAGCAGCAATCTCCTTGGAATCAACATCTGGGGCAATTTTATTGAATTCACGCATGCGTTTGGTGTGAATATTTAAAATTTGCACACGACCCTGTTCATTGGGTAAACTAATTTCCATTTGTACTTCCAAACGACCGGGACGCAATAAGGCGTCATCAATCATATCACGACGATTAGTCATACCAATAACTAAAATGTTATTTAATTGTTCTACGCCATCGATTTTGGCTAACAATTGATTTACCACAGTATCATGGACACCACTATTGCCGGCCACAGAACCACGTTGTTTGCAAATGGCATCGATTTCATCAAAGATTATAATGTGCAAACCGCTGTTAGGACCCAACTAATGAGTAAAATATAAAATTAAGTTGAATATATTTTACAAACTGTATTCATAGCTTCCCTTACCCTTTTCTCTTCCTCCTCAGCTTCGGCAAATAAACGTCTGATGTTGGCTTCTGATTCACCCACATATTTATCCAAAATCTGTGGACCATTAACAATCTTAGGCTCTCTGGCATTTAACATATTGCCAATTTGACGGGCCATCAAAGTTTTACCAGTACCGGGTGGACCATATAATAAAATACCCTTTACGTGCTTGCAGCCCAGCTGTTCTACCAACTCTGGTGGAAAGACTCGAGAAGCAAATGCTCTTCTAAAGATGGCATTGAATTCCTTATCCAAACCACCAATACCCATTTTACCGAAATCCCAATCGGGATTAATAATCGATTGACGCACTATTTTACCCTTGGATTTGCCTTGTAAATTCAATGCTGAATTCTCGGCCTTTTCAAATTGCACAATAGTATTGCCGGTTATGCGTCCAAATCTTACATTTCTAGTGGCAGACTCTTTGCCCTCACTAATGGCTTTTGGATCAACAGCTAATATAAATTTGTTGAAATTTTAGTTAATTGTTATTTAGGATTTGTAATAAATTATTTATGAATAGACTCACCCTCTAAAGTTTTTACTGCCAATCCCAAGAGTTTCTTATCTTGGAAGCTAAAGACTAAAGTTTGACCTACGGTTAAGGCCATGCCAGCAAACTGCATTAAGAATTCTTTAGCCATTAAATCGGAATCGTAAGGTTCTTGAGAAGTGCTAAAAGTTAAATTTGTTTATTAAAAATTGAGATCAAGATTCTCTATAGGAAGTATGGGTCAAAATAAGTTTGAAAGAAAATTAAAATAATAGGAAGTACATGCATAAATTGTTAAACAATGACACATGTTCATACTGCATGTATGTATAGTAAGGTGGTGGTTGACAATACAGAAGCAATTGGAGAATAGGCCCATACAAAATTCCTTTATTTTTCACTCAATAAAAGTTTTAAAGAAAAAACTTTTGGTACTTAACAACTGAAGAATTATATTGTATAATATTTAGTACACAGTACTAAATCAATTACATATTTATGGAGCATAGAAAAACTCTTTGCCAGATTCCCATCTTTAAGTGGTTAAACAAACAATGCATCATTATATGATGATATTGGCAAAAGAACAGATAATTCGCCATAAAACCAATGCAATGGTTAATGCCCCCATAAAATCGATTTTAGGGGGTAAATAATAGTGTAGAAAACTAATGCAGAAATGTGTGTAATGATACATACAGCAATGATCCAAATATTGCTAGAAGCATTTTAATGTCTCTCCTTATGTTATGTTAACCTTGATATAATTGTAACAACCTATACAATGGAAAAGGGGGTATTTTATATTAAGTATGCCAATTATTCAACAATGATGGTATGTAGTATTTTCTCTTCTTAATGTAGATAGGATTTTTAATTACCGTTAAAAGCATTAACAACCTATCTCGTAAATAGTGCATTTATAGAAAATAAGCTTTTAAAAGAGGCATGGAATTTTGGAATAAATAACTCAACTATGAATATGATGTTCATTAAAAGTCAGTTTAATTAAAAAGTCCCCAACCATAGGTGAGATTGTATAACTACACCATTTTCAACAGTAATTCAGAAAAGCTCAATTGTAAATGAGATTTTTCATTTGAAATTAAGAAAAGAGCAGTTGAAAATGGGATTTTTCATTTGAAATTTAGAAAAGAACAATTGAAAATGAGATTTTGCATTTCAAATTCAGAAAATTCCAATTGAAAATCATATTTTCCATTTGAAATTCAGACAATTCCAATTGAAAATGAGATTTTTCATTTGGAATTTAGAAAAATTCAATTGAAAATTCGATTTTTCATTTGAAATTCAGAAAACTATATGTATGGATATTTTTCAACCTTAAGTTAGAACAAAAAACATAGAATGTGCGTCTCATACAAGATAAATTTTCAATAGCGGGTCGTGATACATAAAAAGTACGTGTAAATCATGACAACCCGCACGTCGAGATGCGTATTCTTATAATAAATATTCTTTGGTTAAAATTAATTGTAATATTATCATTTTCATTTACTTTTTTTCTTATTTTCAATTGCATTTTTCTGAATTTCAAATGAAAAATCTCATTTTCAACTGAAATTTTCTGAATTTCAAATGGAAAATCTCATTTTCAATTGGATTTTTCTGAATTTAAAATGAAAAATCTCATTTTCAATTGTTGTTTTCCGAATTTCAAATAAAAAATCTCTTTTTCAACTGTTCTTTTCTGAATTTCAAATGGAAAATCTCAATTTCAATTGATATTTTCTCAATTTAAAATGAAAATTCTCATTTTCAAATGTTCTTTTCTAAATTTCAATTGAAAAATGCCATTTTCAAATGTCCTCTTCTGAATTTCAAATGGAAATTCTCAATTTCAATTGATATTTTCTGAATTGAAATGAAAAGTTCTCATTTTCAATTGAAAAAGGTGTAGTAAAAATTGCATCATATAAATACACGTAAGCAATTTAAAACATGATATTGTTGATATAGTAAGAAAAATAACTTTGCTTACTGTAAAGATTGGAACAAAATTAAAAATAGAATCATTATATGAGTCATTTTAATTCATATTGATTTTGTATGTTCTTTTTGGAAAACAAAATAAATCTATTAAAAATTACAAGTTGTCTACGTACAAAAATCAGTACCAATTGTATTACAAATAATATGAATAAACTTACGTTTTCTTCTGCAAGAAATCCGTTTCAAATGAGACCAATGTTATAATATCGGAATTACCATCGAAACGATAAGGGCGTATATCGATTTCTTGATTTATGGAAAGAGTGGCCCATTTACGTTGTACCAACGAAAAGCCAACATGACCTCGTGGCACTTCAGCAGTACGTTCGAGAGCAAAGATATAATGCTGACCAGGTCCGGGTGAGATGTCTGCATATCTATACAAAAGAATAAAACAAATATATGACAATATAGTATAAACTATTTCACAATTTTCTTTAGCATTCATACTTTATATCTTCCGGAAAATCATTAATGTTAACAATGGCCTTGTTGGTCAATGACAGTTCGTCTGTGGGACATTTAGTAGCTCTCATACGCTATAAAAACATAATATAACTCTTTAATTGTTGGCTTTCCAGTGTATTCTATATTCTCGTAATACTTACGTAGGACATTTTGCTTTTAAAGGAAGTTTCTTGTGGTTTTTCTTAATAATAGGGAAATATGTTTTTCTTTTGCTTAAAATACTAAACAGCTGTTCGCAAAAATTCTCTCTGTTTACTATTTTTTTAGCAAGTGGTGTCGCTCTCTCTTTCCCCTTTTCACCTCTCAGGTGCTACGAATTAGCAGATTTTGCTGCGCCCTCACACAAACACGTGTATTTCTTATGGGAGCTAGGCTGCTGCGTATCCCTAGGCCCACTTTGACTTGACGCAGCACATATAAAAAAATGGTTTTGCTGTACACAGCGAGACGAAATTTCTGTGCACAGCAGGATGCTCTCTTCTGTCTTTTTGAGAGTATTTATTTTTTTTTATAAATAACAAGTTAGATTCAGCGTTGTCAACTTTAAAATTTCAAAAAGCACCAAATTGAAAAAGCAGAAAAGCCTTTTGGGGTGAGTTTTTATTTCTTCCTTTTGCAGTGGGGGGAGGAAGGCTGTAAAAAATATCGATCCATTAAAATTTTTTTCCATTTTATCTAATATATTTTTTTCAAAGCTTTTACAACTTTAACTTAATTGCAATTTACTTATTGTAATGTGTTTTTATTAATTATACCTCTTTAAAGCTTCTTTAATTTGTTACAAAGGATTTTCAAATAAATTTTCACTTTTATTTCAACAATTATTAATCACTTTTTGCAGAAGATATGACACAGCTTTACATTTGGAGAACCAGCTCAGAAATAAAATTATTTTGGGGAACAGTGCAGACACCTGTGCCGAACAAACTTCATGTCGGCGACTATTGTTGACCCTTTTTTTAATGTTGGCGGCGTTTTTATATCTACAGTTAGACAGCTATAAATATGTTCTACAAATTGAAATGGAATAAATTGAGTTTCGACATAAAATTAAAATTATTTTTAAAATTTTTACGATAAAAATAGAAGAAGAAGAAAAATAAAAAGAATTGAGTTCATTTTTGGACTAAATATACGTATGTTTGTAATAATAATTATGTCCGTCTGTATTGTTTTATATTGACTTTACCTACTTTTCCCAAATTTTCGATAGGGTTCTTCAAATCGACTAAAATAATCGAGAATCGACTTTTTGTGGGAAAAAGTCGAAATAAGTCGGAAAAAGGTCGAAAATTCGAATTTTCTTAAAACACAAAATTTTTAAAGTCGACTTTTCATAAATCGCAAAATATCTAAAAATGGAATTTTAAAATATATACATATATAAAAGTTTAAAAGTCGACTTTTTATTTCAACTATAGAACCCTACTTTTCGATTTTTCCGACGAGGATTTTTTATACCCTACACCACTTTAGTGGGGAGGGTATATTGGATTTGTGCTGATGTTTGTAACATACAAAAATATTCGTCCTAGACCCACCTTAAAGTATACCAATCGGCTTAGAATCGTTTTCTGAGTCGATTAAGCTATGTCCGTCCGTCCGTCTGGCTGGCTGGCTGTCCATGGAAACCTTGTGCGCAAGGTACAGGTCGCAATTTTCAAGATCTTGGATGAAATTTGGCATGCACGTTTTATTTGACCCAAGGACGAAGCCTATTGAAAATGGTTAAAATCGGTCCATTATTTCACCTAGCCCCCATAGAACAGAACCCCCCAAAAAGGGCTTCTGAGCTCATAATTATGTTAAATATACAGATATATCGATAAAATACGGCACAACTAAGTTTTATAGAATTCTTGATGACCCTGCCAAATTTCATAAAGATCGGGCCCCATTTGACCCCAGCTCCCATACAAAGTCCCCTTCAGAAAATTACTTGAATGTCCCAAATTAACTTATAAACACAAATATCGCGATGAAATTCAGCACAATAAAATATTATGTAAATATAAATATATTCACAAAATTTTATCGGGCTTGGTCCATATTTGCCCCTAGCCCCCATATAAAGCCTCTTTCAGAAAATTAGTTTTTCATCCATAAATTGCTTAAATGTATCGGAACAAGGGAATATTGAAAATAAATGCTTTACTATGAAAAATAAATCACATTTAATATTCATAACTGGTGTAGGGTATCATATGGTCGGCCTCGCCCGACTATACTTTCTTACTTGTTTTTACTTATATTCATAAAGTCGAAAATAGCAGACTTTAAATTTTTTCAACAACAAAAACCCCTTTTACATTTTTCCTGCTCAACTTTTTGAGTTTGCTTGGAACAAATTGACCTGTGTAAACTAATATTAATTTTATTCGACGTTGCATTTCAAAATTCTTGGGCGGCTAGATTGGTCGTTCAACGCAGATCTCTTAAACAGTGATGCTAATTTAGTTGTTTTGAAAATAGGTCCCTTGGAAAATATTTTCTCTATTAAGATTAATTCTAGCGATTTCTTGTATGCCGTTAAGAATTAAAAAGTGTTACCAAGTTTAGATGAGTTATAACCGTTACGGTTAGAAAAATATTTAAGGAATTATTTTGTATTTGCCTTCCCCCCAACTCTCTTTGCTTTTTTGCTACTAGTTGTAGAATTAAATACTGACCAAATTATTTGATTTATTTCCAAAAATAAAACCACTCAATTTATCAATTTACCATTTTATTGATATTATCTTGGTAATTCTTAATATGTATTAATTTTATATTTTAATATTTAATTTTTATTTCCTTTCGATACGTCTTTCATGGTATTGCAAAGAAAAATTGTTTGTTTAGATATTTGAATCCATTTGTAAATGTCGTCGACACAGTGAAACATGAATAAAACAAAAATTATTTTGAAATTATATTGATGTTTCTTTCAATTAAATGTCTGATATATCTATGATTTTACTGCAAATATATGTTATTTTACTATTTATTTTTATTAATTGTAATTGTAAATTGTTTGTCTATTATTTTGGCTTCTTATTGACCATATGTAATCCGCAAGTTTTTATTTTATATTAAGTTAACATTTAAAAAGTTTTTGTTTTTAATTATTTTGTGTATTTTTGTTTTGGATTTTTTAATTGTATATATTTTTTTGTATAATTTTTTTTAAATTCGATAAAATGTTTTTTTAATTATTTTTTAAGTTGCATGACACTGTAATGTTTTTAAAAAGTGTCTACGTATTACTTATTTAACGTTTTTTTTTTTCAAATATTAATAAAAACCAAAAAATTAAAGAATAATAAATTTGGCCAAACTACTAAACATTATAAACTGAATAATTGAAATTATGCGGAGTTATTTTTAATCCAATTAATATTTCAAATCCTTCAGTAACTTTGTATAATTGCCAATGTTTAGTTTTTGAAAATTATAATAAAAAGAAAAAAATATGTTTTATGGTTTCCGTAATAAAAAAAAAAATAAAATGCATACGGAATTTTGTTTATTATATTTTAATACTACTAAAAAAAATTGGGGTATTTTTGTTTTTTCTTATTTTCTTTCATATTTGCTTTTCGTCATATAAAATAGTAATGATAAAAAAATGTTAAGAGTGCTTAAAAAAACTTTCATTAAACGAGAGAATAAAAAAAGTTTAAAAAATATAAATTTTAAAACAAAAAAAAAATAAAAGTGTTGTCATTACATTTTACGTAAGGTAAGTGTTATTAATTATAAGAAATATTCGTAAAAATTGTTATTTTTTCCATGTTTTCTTTATATGTATATGCTAAATATGTTATAAATTGTTTTTTGTTGTATATAATTTTTTTTTTCTTAAATCAAACAGCAGCTGCAACAGCCCTTAGAAGACGTTTTTATATTTGTTTATGTTTCCAAAAAGATGTGTTGTGGTGTGGTGTGGTGTTTCCCTTTTTATATGTTGTTGTTATTATTTTCTTAAATATTTAAATAGCTACATTTAGTTGTAATGTATATTTTGTATTTTGATTTTTTGTTTTCAAATGCAGTGTTATTTTACTTTCCACTTTTTCTTTAAATTCTTCTGCGGTTTAACAATCGGTATCATACCAAGCAGCTAAATTGTTGTTGTCATTGGGTGGTGTTGGCATGGCATCCAAATCAAAATTCAATGCGCCAGCATCAATTTCACCAACATCCATATCCATGGAATAGGGTGAAGTTGGTGCAGCACTTGGTGGGGCACCACCACCGCCGCCGCCTCCTACGGGACTGCTGATTTCAAGACCCTGCATAGAGTCTATTGGTAAAGTATCATATCCTGCTTGAATAATAAAAAGAATTAAAAAAATAATAACAAGTTAGTATGCTTCAATATTTAGGTGAATTTTTTAAGGGTTTTTTTAAATATATTTTTAATTTGCAGTTAAAATAAAATACATTATTATAATGTATTAAATATTTGGCATTAACAAAATCAGAACAAAAATTAATATGTTGTATGAAAAAGAAAATTATATTTATCATGCTTTAAAGAAAAAAGTTCTATTGAAGACATGCTTTAAAAAAATATGATTTTAAAAAAAGAATAATTTGATCACAATGATTAGATTGTTTTCGATTATATTTTTGCTTCTTCAGCTAACGTTCGATTCAATTAATTCGATCAAACAATCCGCCCGACCTAGAATTCCATTCAATTCTAATCCCATTGAAAATGCAATTATTTCCCATAACTAAAAACAAAATTATTTTATTCCGATCAGAATGGTTTAAATTTCGCAATTATAATTCCGATCGGTTTGTTTAAAAGCTTCTTTAGATACCCCCGGAATGAAAACAATGACATAGCAAAATCGTATTCCAAAATTTGAAGTTAAGTTCGAAACATTTATAAAACAGTTGAAATAATCTCACGATTATAAAAATTTCACAAAAATTCGTAAAAGTTTTGAAGCAACATGGTCCATAGCTTGTTGCGGATCATGTACTCCCATAATTTTAGCAAGAGAGTAGTTTTGGGATTAATCCGTTGTAATGCATGGGTGGATTACGCGGTTCTCACCTATGTTTTTTCCATATATGTATTTGGATTAGTTTTGGACAGGTCCCCTTGCAGGGGTACATGATCCGTAAAGTAGTCATATGTAATGCAGGTATGGATCATATTTATTGTTTTGAAAACAACATGGTCCATAGTCTGCATTACATAGCACAATGTTGAGGATCATGTACTCCTTTATTTTTAGCAAGGGAGTAGTTTTGGGATTACTCTGATGTAATGCATATATGGATTACCTGGTCCTCACCTAGGACATCACAATGTTAAATGGAGTATGTGTTTTTCCATATACACTTAAACCTCGTTTTATGCGATTAATTCGTTTCGCAAAAAAGCGCATAATTCAAATTCGCACAAAACGATACACTAGCTCCATACAAAATCTACTAATTGGGTTTTAGATAAAAAAGCGCACATTTTCGAATTATTCCCTTAAAAGTCAAACAAAATCGCATATAAAAAATTTAATTCTTTACTAAAATTATAAAAAATAAAGAAAAATAAAGGAAACAAACAACAAAATAATACCAATTCCAAATAATGAACATTTCATAAAAATAAAACTTAATATTTCTTCATGTACAAAGGATTTGAACAATACTTTATATATCCGAACCGGAATTGGTAAAAAATCAGTAGTTGTACTTTGTTGATCACTTTTTTTTGGATGTATGTGGACCAAAATCTTCCTCAAAATAATTTTTGCAAAGAAAAATTTTAGAATTTTGAAACCGCACTAATTCAAATTCGCATAAAATAAATTCGCATAAAACGAGGTTTGAGTGTATTTGGATTAGTTTTTGACCAGTCCTAGTCCTTTGAAGAGTTCTGTTTACATGCGAGTGCGAAATAGTCTCAATTTTTGCAGGGAACTATTAAAGTTTTAACATTTTAATTCCAACTATTCATCATACAAATTCGAACTGAATACGATTTTGTTTCTTGTTCTTTTAATAAAAATATTTACTTTTCACAATATCAAACAAAAACAAAAACTTTTTAATAATGAATTCATGCAGAAAAAAAACATTTTAGAATGAAGAAACGTGTCAAACATGCAAAAACAACAAAACAAAAAAGAATTGTATTTGTAAATTAAAATGATAATGTATAATGAAAATCATATAGTAAATATAAGAGAATATAAGCATGGATTTCTATTTGAAAATTTCTTCCTTTTTTTTTTTAAGAAATATTTAAAAGAAAAGCCAAATTAAACAAAACAACATTAACATTTTTTTTTAAACGAAACATAAAACAAACTGAAAAAAGTAACATTTTATGCAGAGAAAAATCAATATCAAAAATGCTTTGTACAATATAAAGGGTGAAATGGCAAATAACAGTACGAGTATCAGAAATAACAGTCGACAGATTGGATTTTCAGATGACATAACAGATTTGATAAATAAAGGTATTTTCGGGCAGTTATGGCGTTTCAAAAATGAGAAAAAAAAGCGTTTTTTTTCAAACTTCAAGACACGATATCCGAAAAACTTTATGTGATGAATAAATTCGAGGGCAGATTCTGATCTGCAATGTTAAAAAGTCCCTTCTTGTACGTTCAATATTATAGAAAATTCAAAAATTACCTATTGAAGAACGGAAAAGTACCAAAAAGTCCCCTTTTTATAGGTTCTCATTTACTCCGGGCTCAACATGCTTAATTTTATATTTCTAGCAGGGACTGTAAATAACAGTTATTCTGAAAAACCAAAAAAATCTCTATATTGGGGTCAACGTAGACCTATACAATTATATACCAATATACTCGTATTGAAGTGCTTTTTCAGAATATATGGTGATTTGAAAAAAACGATCTTAGCTCCATAAATAACAGTTATTTTTTAACGGAAAAATAAAATTCTGATTGAAACAGTTAAAAAATGAGTTTTATTTTTCCGTCATAAAATAAAAATTATTTGAAGAGTTTTATTTTTTCCATCAAAAAATAAAACTCATTTGGGGACTATTATTTTTTCCGTCAAATAATTAAACAATTTTTCTTTATTTTTTTTCAGTCTCTTATTTTATTGAATATATCTAATATGTTTGGTTATTTATTTGTTTAATTTAACAAACATAATTTTTTCCAAATTTTCTGCGGAAAGATTTGAACGCAGGTCACTTAATATCAATTTAAGAGCAGAGAACGCTCTTTCCACGCTAACCTGTGTTCCAGGAACACACTGTACAGTTTTTGCCAATTTGTATAAGTAGGGGTAATGTATTTTTTTGCTTCCCAGAACTCAATCGACAAGGGCCGTGGAGAAAAATTATCGATTTCATAGAAAGCTTTTTTTTTTCATCATCATTATCATTTTCTTCGTTTTCAGTGGCAAGCTTTAGGTGTCAATTCACATAAAAGAGTTTTATTTTCTGACGGAAAAAATAAAACTTCTCAAATAAGTATTATTTTCTGACGGAAAAAATTAAACTCCTCAAATAATTTTTATTTTATGACGGAAAAATAATACTCTTTTTTAAAAGTTTCATTTAAATTTTTATTTTTAGGTTGAAAAATAACTTTTTCAGATGGATTTTTATTTTTAATGTCACAAAATAACTGTTATAAATTAACTTTTTTGATATAACTTATAACTGTTACGGTCCCTGATTTCTAGGTTCAATATTATAGAAAACTCAAAAAGTGCCAGTTAAAGAACGAAAAAGTGCCAAAAAATCCCATTTTATGGGTTTTGAATTACTTCGGTCTCTATATCTGAATTACCTAAAAATCCCGTCTAGGTAGATCTATTTGGTGAGAGACCAAACTCCTGTCCAAATGTCAGCACTTTAGCTTTAACCGTTTAGTCAGTGAGTCAGTAACGTTAGAATTTTATATACCTATATAAATTAATCTGAACCAACACTGTTATTTGTCACACCTTTATAATTGTAATATATATTCGTTATATAGATTTTTCTCCAAAATGTACAGAAAATAATGTAACATAAATTTGGTATAAATATATATATTTTTTAAAAATTTTAATTGTATTTCTTGGTTTGATAGACAATGACAATCACCTACAAGTATTAAGTGAGATTTTGCAGGACAACAAACATTTTTTTTTGAGCATAATTCAGTTGAAATAGAAGAAGGTTTAGGATAACTATTAAATATTGTTTTCGTTAATTGCGTATATATCATATTTTTGTATATATTTTAATGTGTACACTGGGCTTTTTGCAAAATTCTTATTTTGAATGCACTACTCTCTCGTTGTGTTTTTTTTTTTTTTTAATTTGGTTCGAAAAACATCTATTTTTTTTATTAAAGTTGTTAAATACTTGATTTTTTGTGGTTAGTTAATAAAATTCTTCCGTTTTCTTTTTTTTAAATAAATTCGGAGTTTAAATTTGCATTCAATGATGATATATGTTAGGCTGGCTCAACTGTTTGTGAAGAGAAGTTTTATTAGGTAGTGTTTTTGTTTGTAAAATTTTGTTAATTTTTGTTTAAATTGTTTTCCAAAATAGCACACAGGAGCATTTAAATAATGCGAGAGCATTTTGTTGGTCAAGTAAAAAAGAAATAAAAATATGTTTATTATTAGTTTTATTTTTTTTTTTTTTGACTAAATCATTTAATTAACGTTTATGATTTAGTAGTGAATGTCAGATTGTTTCTATATGGCTGTTTGGTAATTGTGATTTAAAATATATAATACAAAATAGTTTTAGGGGTGTTTACACATTGTTGTTGCATGTTCATTATATTTACATATAAAAAGAAAACGTTCAATTGCTTTTTTTGTTTGTTCAATTTCTAATGAAAAAACAATAGTAATGAAATAATAATAAAACAAAACAATAACAATGAAACTAATGAAATGATTTGTAATTGAAAAACAAACTATGAATGAAGAAATTATTAGTTGGTGAAATGTGATGTGATGATGTGAGTGTTTCATATGTGCACAACGAATGTTGTTATAGTACTTTTTTTTAATTTTTCGACAAAAGTTTAACGATTTCAAAATCAATTAACTGAATTTAATGTTTAAAAGGATTTAAAATTTCAGAAATTTTGTAAACTTCTATAAACCATTTAGTATTAGCACCGGTCCAATAGTTTCTGTAACAATACCCTTCACCTTATACAATTTTCCGAGTCCTTTTAGATATCTGTGAGATTTTAAATTTTAATAATTCGAAATAATATCTATGTACATATTTAAATAACTATTGTCACAAGAATTTCTTTTTGTCCAGGGATTAAAATAGTTGATAAAAACCCCCTTTTATAGATTTGCATACATGTTTTTAGGTTCAATATAAAATCTAAATGAACGACGATAAGCTTTAAAGTGTTTCTGTATCTTTTCTAGTTTATTAGATAAGTGATTACGAAATTTACCTGAATTTATCCGTTTTTACCCCTAATAATTCGAATTTCCGAAAATCACTACTTTGTGGATCTATTTGGTAGGATACCAATTTCCTGTCCAAATTTCAGCTCTTTAGCTTTAACCGTTTAGGCTGTGCGGTGATGAATCACTTCAAAATTTCATATCGCTCTCATACAAATTTAAAGACTCCCGGAAAATGGATTTATTGTTAATAACTCCTCCTTCTAGAATATCGGTATTTATACATATAAATCTAATATAAATAGAAATCGTATTACCAACTTAAACCTGGATCGGTTAATAATTGATCATACTTCCTATATAAGATCCAAAACCGAACATCAATTGAACGAACAAAATTCATCTACACCGGACCATAATGGGTCATAGGTTCTATATAAAGTCTCTTCTAAAAATCATTTAATCGTTAAAAACATATGAATTAAAAATATATATACTTAAACGCGGTCTGTATATATACAAATTATTCTTGGGAATTTTTTCGGGATCGGCCCATAATTGGGCATAGCTTTCATATAGAATCCACTTCTGAAAATCACTTAATCGTAAAATACGCATGAATTAATAATGATATCGGAATCAATTTATACTCAAATCATTATGAAATTTTTTCCGGATCGGTCCATAATAGACCATAGCTTCCATATAAAGTCCACTTTCGAAAATCACTTAAATATATTTTGTTTTTTATTTAAGCTTTGTGGCCTCCGGTAGGTTAGTGGTTAGTGTTCTAGTCTGGTAGACCGGAGGTGGTGTGATCGATTCCCACCTGAGGCACTGGTTAAGGAGCGCACAACAGGCCCAATAGAGGCCTAGGTGTATTTCTTCGGATTTGATGTATATACATCCTCCTTTCAAACTAACTAACTAACTATTTAAGCTTTTCAAAATTTATTAAAAGCAAATTTCTATGATAGTTCGAGGTGTTAATAAAAAAACTAGTTTATAGGTGAAGGGTATTAAAGATTCGAAATTTAAAATTTGGATTAGATTTTCAATAATAATTAAAATAAAATAGTTGTTGCATAAAGAGTCTTTAAGTTTAACCTGGCAACAAGCGCTGATCTCCTAAAGAATTAAAAAAATCAAATTAAGTAATAGTGTTGAAAGAAAGTTTAAACATTTCTCGTTTGTGTAAAACTGTAACTACTCTTATTGAAATGTTAATTAATGTTAAAAACAAAACAATTGTATTTGTATATTAATGTATAAAAGAGAAAGAGTTTAACAAAATAAATTATCAAGAAAAATTCAACAAATTATATGTAGAGAGAAATTGATTACAAGTGATAAAACAGGACACAGGGTTAACGAAAACGAAGGGGTCTGATTAAATATCTGCACAAACGAATGGTTGCGTTGTTGGTGGTGATGGTGGGGGTTAATGGTGTTGGTGGAGATTATTAGAAATTAGAAATTGTTATTATGATGATAATAAGAACTAACAAACATTTGAACGAGTGGAAGAAACGTATGTTTTTTGTTTTGTGAACGTATGTAGCGCATGTGACAAGAATTTGTTGTATTTTTTGTTATGTTTGTTAATATTTTTTTTAACTTTTACAAATGTTATTCTTTTTTGTCTTGTTTGTATATGAATAACTTTCTACATGCTTTGTTATTTGGTTTGATTTAGTTTTTGTAATTGTTTTTTTTTATATTTTTACTGATAATGGTGGTTTCGATCGGGGGGGCATATGGGTAGGGTGGTTGTTTGGTAAAGAACAATTATTAATTAAAAGAAACACACAAAATTATGGGATTAGAGATACGTACCTTGTTGGAATGCACGACCGCCATGGGAGCTGTGTACGCTCGGTGGCCCCTGACCATAGAGGCCTTCATATGCTTGCTCTGGACCAAGCATATCCTGTGTATATATATCGAGGTTTGATATTTTTTGTTTATATATGTAAACATTTAACATTTGGGATGATTTCAAAATGATTACGATTTCGTTTCGAACGAAATTCAATTCGATATTTAATATTGTATGTTGTTGTTAAAAATGGTAACAGAAAAATGTCACATTGTAAATAGTAGGTTGATAGGTTGATTTTTTGTTTGTTTTTGTTTTAGTTTTATGTAATTTGATCACATTAACCATTAAAAATTTAATTATTTTAGGGGGGAAATCGGGGAATTTTCAATACGAGGGGCCACCAAAACACATTTTTTTTTTGTTAAGAATTAAAAAAGTTTAGCCAAATTTGAAGAAATTTTTCAACAGGTGCAGGGGGTATTATCAATTTTACGTGATGGTGGGGTGGTAGAGTTTACGTTTGGTGTTGGTAATAAGTAGTAGCAGTTGTGGTAGTTGTGATAATTTGCAAAAAACGAAAATCATAAAAATAAAAAAATAAAAAAAATAGAAAATAAAAATTAATTAATAAAAAATAACAAAAAGTTAATAATAATTCAAATACAACATTTAAAGCTAAAAAAACATAAATGATATGATAAAAGAAAACTAACAATTTTGCTCACTAATAATATTTTATATGAAAACAACAATAAGTTTTTTGTTTTTCCACTAATTTCAACTACATTTTACAGAAAATAAACTTGTTAAAAAAATCAAAGAGAAAAATTATAAATAAATTTAATTTTGTTTTAAATCAAAAAAATAAAATGCAAAATATAAGATGTTTATTTTAGATATAGAAATATTCAAATATTCAGTAACTAATCTTACATTTAATCAAAAATAAAATTCTTTGTTTCATATATACAATACTCTATAAATTATTTTGTTTTAGTTATTTTTTATCTGCTTATTTTACAACTGTTCTTTTTTGTCTTTAAAATTTTAGATATTTATTGTATTGCATTAAATATTATTGGGGAAAATAACATTAAACATAACGAACCTGTAAATCTGGACCCATGCCTAGATCGGCATTTCCCCATATGTTGTTGTCTTCACGTAAAAGTGAATTGGTCAGCTCAATAGAGAGACGTTTTTTGTAATCTTGCGGCTTATCCTCGCTCATACGGAATAGAACAGCGGCGGCATAAGTAGCAACGCCTTCATTGCGTGAATGCAATAAATCAGTTAAGGGGCCAGTGGCTCCTTCTTGTTCAATTATTTCGGCTCCTTCTTTGTCTGCGGCCAATTCACAAAGAACTCCAGCGGCAACGCGCTAAACAGACAATCCATAGCAATGTTAGTTTACAAATAATATGACAGAGACAAAAATAAATAACCCACCTGTATATTTTCTATTTCATTAAATAGCAGACGTACAAATATCGGTATTACCGACTGTTGACGAATCAAAGCGCGATTGTGAGACTCTCGAGCTAAAATGTGTAATGCACCCACAGTGCCCTCAACAATTTCCTCCATACGAACACCATCTGCATAGGCCGAAGGCTGTTGTGAGCCAGTAGTGGCCACAGAAGAACGTTGCTAAAGTAGGCATAATTTATATTAATATTTTGGCTTTGTTGTAATCAAAAATAAAAACAACAACTTACACGTTCGGTATCTTGGAAAGCACGCATTAATAGACGTACTAAATGATGTATGGCTCCATGTTCACGCAATGGAGCTGCATTAGCTGGACACAAAGCCAGATTGCGTACCAGACCTATGGCGGCCTTAATTAATGGCCAACGGGATGGTGGATGTAAAAGTTTTACAATCACCGAGAGACCATAATTCAAACGTACGGCGTTTTGAGCCATTTCCGAGTCAGCATGACGTGTTGTCAAATGACGTAGAGCACAGACGGCTGGTTCAGTGATTTCCTCACGATCGCCAGCATTTATAATCGTACGTACCAAAGCATCAACACCACCGACTTGACAAACTGTAGCCTTATTACGCTGATTGTTACATGTCAAATTAGAGAGTATGCCAGCTGCACAAGTGACGACATTAACATCTGTGGATGCCAATACTTGGACCAAGGATTGCAAAAGAGCCTCCATGCCATCAACTTTAGTGGCAGCATCGGACAAATTACGCAAAGTCCACAAACAGTTCTGCACCAAACGGGGCGATGGATTGCCCAAGTGCATAGCGAGGGCCTGCATGCCACCAGCATCTACAATGGCTGGCTTATTGCTAGAACATACTGAGAGGACTTTTAAAACACGTGAAGTGGTCCACAACAACTTCTCGTAGTCGTAGGAGCGCATAATGCGCACCAATTCATTAGGGCCACCAGAAGCCAAAATTATTAATTTACTCTCTTGATTGCCGTAGGCAAGAATCTGTAAACAATCTGTAACGATGGCCAAGAACTTGACGTTATTACGCTGCAACAAGGTAACCATTTTCTGGAGACCACCAGCTAAGCGAACTGCCATTTTAGAACCATCCTGATGCAATAACAAATTGTGTAGGGTGGTGATGGCATAGAATAAAACACTCTCAACCGGAGAAGACAATAGTTTCACCAAAGCTGGTATACCACCGCTCTTGAATATAGCCAAGAGACCTTGTCGATGATGTGACAAATTATGAAGAGTGCCAACAGCAGCTTTAGTACTCTCCAAATCGTTACTATTCGAAATGGCGCGTACGAGAGCTGCCACCATCTGTGGACTATTCATAATAGCATGGCGCGAAGCTTCTTTTTTCGACAACTGGTGTACCATCATGGCGGCTTGGGAAACGACAACTTGATCTTCATCATTGAGCAATTTTATCAATTCTGGTATTGCGCGTGTTGCCAGCTCAGCGTCATCTTGATAATTGATTAGATTGACAACGGCATGTTTTAACATTTGCGACGGTTCGGCCAAACGTTGTACAGCTGTTGGTTGTTGTGGATCAAACTGGGTCGAAGGTATTTCAATACCCTCTTCCAATGTTTCGGGGAACATGGCAGCGCGTATGCGCTGTGAACGCGTCTGGCTCAACTGGCTATTCATGTCATCCACCTGTTCTTGGGTGAAATTCTGTGGAAAACCAGTATCTAAATCAAACATAAGTGGATCGCCGTCCATTTCCTCATCTTCTTTGCCCGAGAGGGAAGGTGCCTGTGTAACGGCACCCGAATGAATACCAGAATCCACTAAATACGAATTTTGCTGCCACATAAGTGTTTGCTCCTTGGAGGAAACCATCGGCGGCAAATCCGGTGGATTGTATTGATTGTTATGAGACACTAAAATTATAAAGAAAAAAACCATGTAAATTTTGTTTAATTAATTAGAAATTGAATTTTACTCCAAACTTTTATCATTAGGAAAATCATCAACCATTTTGTATTTGATGTTTATTTAATCTTCCCAAGAAATATTACAATACCCGACATCCCCCAAGAATTATAAAATGTTTTTATGTTAAATGTGATTAAAAATGAAAACTGTCGGTTCAAGGAAAGATGAAATATATCAATAGATCACATGGAAGAAATAAAAGAATGCATTAAAGTTATTGAAAAAAATTAAAACGGAAATGCAAACTCTAACACTCAAAGTTAAGAGTCGAAATATATAAAAAAAAACCGTAGAAAAATTGTATGTACATATTTATAAAAATATTTGTAGAATGTTTAAACCCCAGACAAACATAAAATATAAGAAATCAATAGAAATCAAAATTATGTACATACAAATGTAAGAAATAAAAAAATAACGCAAATAATAAAAATATATATGTATTTAAATTTGGAAGGAGCAAGAGAAAGCAGCAAATCGCAAATGTTATATTTAAAAAAAATAAATGTGAATAGAAAAATGATTAAAGTATGTTTTGCCAAAGGGCAAGTAATGTAAAAAGACCGACCGGACATATCATTACAACCACAAAATAAGTCAACATTTACGTACTCTCATGTGCCATCAACCTAACTTTGGCAAACTAAGTGAAACTCAAAATGAACATTCAACAGAACAACCACATTTATAATAACAACAGCAAGTACTAAATAATGAATGAAAATGAGAAGAGTGCAGAATTATAATAATAAAAAAAACTAATTGTATGGTAGAATAGAATCAGCAGGATTAAAAATTACACAAAGTGAAATATAAAACACCATACAATGAACCATTATAATATGTTAGTAGAAAAATGTACTTTTAAACAGCAGAAGACCAAACGACCTACCCGACCACGCTCTCATCATAGTAATTTAAAAAAGTGCTAAACCATAGATTTGCAGCAGACAGACAAGCATTCGTATGTATGTACGAACAAACGTATCATTTACAGAATATGTCAAAAAGGTACCAACAACATTCAAATACATATATATATATACAATGGATCATAGACGGATGGATGAATGAATGAATGGTAGGTACATATGCCAGCCATGCGTCAAGCAAAAGGGTTTTTTATTTCACGGTCTAATATTAACGAGACAGTTTGTTAAATGAAATATGTTTGTTGGTTTTGAAGTGTATTTTATAAGTAAGGGGTTTCAGGAATTGATTTATGTCTATAGTTTATATCTATCTATCTATCTATCTATCTATCTATCTATCTATCTATCTATCTATCTATCTATCTATCTATCTATCTATCTATCTATCTATCTATCTATCTACCTACCTACCTACCTATCTATCTATCTATCTATCTATCTATCTATCTATCTATCTATCTATCTATCTATCTATCTATCTATCTATCTATCTATCTATCTATCTATCTATCTATCTATCTATCTATCTATCTATCTATCTATCTATCTATCTATCTATCTATCTATCTATCTATCTATCTATCTATATATCTATCTATCTGTCTGTCTGTCTATCTATCTACATCTCAACCGTTTAACCAAATAAATTAGATTGTTACATGGAGGGTAATATAGGCCAAACGCGAACCGCGTTCAATAGTTTTTTATACGTTAGAATACGTAAAAATTTATGTCTCAAAATCACTTGCAAATGCGAAATATAAATTAAAAAATTATTTCGTAATATTGAAGAAACTTTCTTGTATATTACGAAATAATTTACATAGATTAGGCAGGAATTTTTAATATGTATTATTCCAACAATATTACAAAAAATGTACATACAAGTTTGTATTGTATTTGTTTATTTTAAATGTTTAATTCAAAAACCCTAGACAACATTCACGTTGATTATTGTTGTTGATGTTTTGAGTCACAGCAGACACAATGGATGTAATTTCAACAAAATAATGATGATAATAATGATTACAACAATATTAAATGTCAACAAATCATTTGCAGAATACAGTTTTTACTTATAAATTAAGAGAAACTACCACCACCATGTTAACAGCAGCAATACTACAATCGAATTTACACCCCCCATAGTCATTAAACCAAAAATGAACAAATACTTCTTTTATGCAGAATAATCAAATAAAAATCTAATACGCTTTAGAGGAGTTTTTTCAATATACACAAACAAGCTTTAAATATGTATATATTTACAATTATAAAACTGATTTTGACATGTTTATATGGAACAAATGAAGTAGACGCAAACACATATTCATTGAATATCAATTAGTTATCCAACTGTGAATTGAAGTACTACTAATGTCCTAAATATTCAGAAATAAGTAAACAGGTACTATTTATATTTGTTATAAGCAAACTAGAATCATTTTAAAATATGGCTCAAACGTTTAAAAAAGTAAATAAGTTAAGTTGTAAACTAAAAAAGTTTGGCCTAACTTAAGCTATTAACCATGATTTTTGAGAAATCAACTTCTTATATTTTACATTAAAAATTGTACATTTTGCATAATTGATGCTTTTCAACCAACACTTTTCAGTTTTTCCCTTCATTTTTTTGTACAAACAAAAAATTTGAATATCAAAAATTTTCAATATTTCTTTTGTCACCAGATACGTCTTTTTTAGCATGCGTTTATGAGCATGCATTAATTTTATTTGAAGTGGCAAATATGTACATATGTATGTATGTACTATATGTATAAATATATAAAAACGTTATTGCTAAAACAGCAATATTTAATTTCCTTCTTTTATTTTGCGCTAAGTATCGTGTTCAGCAGCGAAATTAAAATGCACTTCAATAAACACGTTCATATATACACAAACAGGACACTTTATGTACATACATACATATATTCTAAGCAAAGGACTTAAAAATACAAGGTTTTTTAAAAAGAAATGTTAATTATAAATTGATATAATTACTGCTCGATAACAATGACTTGTTTGAAAGATAACAACCTTAGGAATTGGTTCTGTGGAAGCCTTTTGCAGTCGACACTTGTCCTATGGATCTTTTCTGGAACTAGATCATCAATGATGTTTGTTCGATTTTGTCACCTTCGAAATTACTTTAAGTGAAGTTTTATAGAACATACATATATACACCTTCCCTAAAACTGTTCGTTTTTTCAACGATTTGGACAATTTTTTTTGGAATTTGTTGACTAGTGTTGTGCCAATGTAAATAGCAGTTTCTTGAAAACTCCTTAGAAGTACTTTAGAATCACTATAATTTAACATTCGATCATTACTATCATTATTTATGTATATTAAATGGAGGAATACTCTGTTTTTTTTTTTTTTTTTTTTTTTTTTCTAAGGCACATTTTAGAATGTTGTAAATTTATTTAATTTTGGAGAGATGCAAACAACCATACAGCTAAAAAATGAGGTAAATGAGACCAACTATTATGTTTATGAACAGTGAGATAAAAAGATAGCAATATTGGAGACTGTCGTCACTTTCTTGTCCCCAAGTAATCTAGAGAGTAGACACTTACAAAAACATAAACGAAAAGGTTCACTGCCTCGCACCCAGTGTCAAGTTATTACTCGATATATCCCCTTATTTTGGGTTATAGGTTTCCTTGTGCGTTTTTAACTGATAAAAGGCTATCATGCAAGTGTCTAGGCTATTCCACCAATTTTTTGAGAAAGAATCTGAAGATACTAATAGAATCCAGTGAAATTGCAACATAAACAACGTTGGAGATATCTAAAGCAGATCCCTCATCTGTCTGTTAATTTCCATATTGTATCATTGTTCACCGATGAAATAAAATTTCTCGAAAGATTTTATTATTTCATCTATATTGATAAGAAAAAGTGTACAAAAAGGATTGAGTGTACCTTCCTTTTTGTAAAAAAAATATTTAAAATTGTTGGTTATGTTAAGAAAAATAAACTTTAACCATTCCACCACCATTTAAATTAAAAAAAAAAGAGTAAATGTATGTATGAGCGTAAATGTATATTTGTTTGAAAATACAAACATATCATAATCATCAGCAGCATCACAAGCATGTTTTCAAGGAAGAAACATTATACATCAACAATCACAATTTGTATGCTTTTTTTATTTTCTGGTAGTGATATTGTTGCTGATGGTGGTGGCGGCTTCAAGTGGTGGGAGTAAAAGTACATATTGCCCATATGGTAGCGCGTGTTAAATCTCAAAAGCAAAAAAAAAAAAAAGAAGGAGAAGAAAATATGTACAACATATTCTTATTGCATTTGAAATATTTTTTTTTTTCTTTTATTTGCACAAGTCTTTTTTTAAACATTGGGCATATGTTTGTCCTAATGTTGCAGCAGCCTCTAGTATGTCTACGAGTGCACTTCACTCTAGCTTCAATCCATGCCATTAAAAAAAGGCTGCCTTTTTGCACATTTTTCTTTTTTTCTGAATTTTAAGTAGTTCAAACATTTTTTTAACTTTTGTAAGCAAAAAGAAATTAGTTTGAAATATGCAATCAAGCGTTGGATGTAACAGAGAAATAAGTATTTTATTGGAAAAGTTCTCGTACTAGCGCAAGTACGTGTATATAATGAAATGTAGTCAGCAGTGAGTGGTGTAATTTATTACATGATTGAAAGGCTTTGAAAACTTTTTTTTTCAACATTAAGAATTTTGTATGTTAAACATAGATGATGATAATTTCGCATTTTATTTTTCCATAAAGATTAAATTAAAATTTTAAAGAATATACTATTTACATGTATGTATTTAAAAGATAAAACTTATGACTATTTTTACTTACTTGTACGATTTTGTGCTGGCATATAACTCATTTTGGTGATTTAGGCGTTGTACACCACACCTGTAATAAAAATATATGAAAATTAATAATAAATAAAAAATATTAATATTAATTAAATAATATCTTAGAGAAATTTAAAGCTAAGAAACAATTTTCTAACTTAATACAATACAAATCTATGGAACATTTTATTTCCTATTGAAAATAACACTTATGAGGTTAGGTTAAGAAGGGTTATGTACCATAAAGAGGTGAACTTTACTTGGAGACCATAAAGTCCATCGTGATTCCCTTCATAGAGTGTAAAGATCCAAAGATAGAAAAAGAAAACACTAGAAGGACAAAAAGAACATAAGTGAAATGGAGAGACGAATAAAGACATCGATTCCCAATCGATTCACTAAAGAAACAGTTGTCTAAATCTCCCTATAAAATCTATCTACCTTAATCTATTCGAAGAAATTAATAATTCTCCTGATAAAACTTAGTAGACTGACCCCCAATACATCAATGTCTGCTTATATTTTATCGAAAGATTAAATTTACAGTTTTCATACAAAAATTATTTTAACCGGCAGAATATCTACCGGTTAAACGATAACCGGAGTTGGTGTTAACGGGGGTGAGAGTGTAACACAGTTCGTTATGGAACCAATTTCCTAGCCATCTCAACCTGAGATTCAATATTCTAGGACAGTGGTAAATTAAGTGCAACTGTCTCTAGTTCCTCTGAATCTTGGCATATCCTGCAAAAGACCGTTATATTACTACCCCACTTACTAACGAAATGGCTAATTAACCAATACACTGTTATAATCCCTGTCAGAATCCTTAGACTGCTCCTATCTAGTACTATAAGTATCTTGGTAGCCATTACATCAAGTATTGGCCATAAGACCTTTGATATTTTCCATTCTACTATTCCCGGACTGTTTCCTAATATTATGGATTCTCTTGAAAATCACTCTTTCACTCTTCTATTCGTATCATCTATTTTAAGGATCAAACCTAGACTAGCTAGTGCGTCAGCAATCCATTACCATGCCCATTGCAGTGCCCCAACATTTCTACAATCTACAACCAGCAGCGAATGTATTTTATTTTTCAATAAAAATGTTCATCGGAAATTTGACTTTCTAACAACAATTCTAAAATCTTACTTTCTATAAAAAGCTTTTAGTTTTTCACAGAAAATATGTACAACTTTCCACTAAAAATGTTCTATTAAAAATATAAATTTCTGCTGAAATTCCATGGTTCAATTGAAAATTTGTCTTTCTATCAAAGGCTTTTAGCTTTTCATATTTCTATTGAAAATTCGACTTTGTATTGAACGCTTTTATCACTTCACCGAAAATCTAAGTTTTTACTAAGAAACTAAATATTGACTCTTTATGAAAAATTTGTCTCTTTATTGAAATTTGGACTTTCTATCGAAAATTCTACTTTTCAAATATTTCGCTATCCACAGAAATAAGATTTAAAATATTCGATTTATAGGCAGACACTCAGAAAAATCTTAATATAGTTTAGAAGACTTTGTGTAGAAATATAACATTCATTTCAGTTTATTCTTAGTCACACAATTTATGTTGTGATTATGTTTTACATGGAAATACAGGTACTTTAGGGATCAACGGACACGCAACAACTAACTAAAAAAAAACAGCAACAATAAACAAAAAAATAAAACGTGAAATAAATTGACAAGGAGAAAGACATGTGTGAACGGATATACCCATCATGTATGAGACATTTTCTTTTTAACAAAAATTTATCTAAAATGTGTGAAATATAAATTAAAGTTTCACAAGAATTATAATTTTAAAAATAAAGAAGATTTAGTTGGAATGATTAACAATGAGTAAAACAAAAATAAATCATAAAAGATTAGCGAATTAGTTCAAATTTATTTATAAACAATTATGGAAAGGAATCGATTTATTAGTTTAAACTTTAATGTTTCATGAACGTGGTGGTTTTTATTCGGCCACTTTGAAGTTACTTTTATCATATTAAATAAAGTATGTAAAGTATCTAATAAGAAGAAACATTTCTAATTGTTGATTGCTCTCATAATTTTTTCCAACACTGTGTTTAATTGTTATTTTTAAGGTTATTTTTTATAACGGTATTTTGTAAAATGAGCGACATATTTTTTTATTAATTCAAATATGAAATAAAATAATTTACATTATAAATAATATATTATGTTTTATTATAATTAATTAAATCTATGATTTTATTTACTTAAAGAATATTTCTCAACATAAACACAAATTTACAAAGAAAATCCAATATAAAATAAATAACAGAGAATAAATAATAATAAAACACATAAAATAAACAAACAAATAAATAAACAACTCATTAGTCATTCCCTAAATATTTCCGTTTAAAACAGAAACAAATGAATACAACAGAATTAAAAAAAAAAAACAACAAAAACAAACAACAAACTTTAAACATCAAGAAAAATTGAATAAAGACAACAGATAGATAAATAAAATGTAAATATTTATGTACAACTTATACATGTACATATTGTATGTACATTTAATACATATAGAATGTATGTAGATATGTAAGCAGTTGTGTACGTAGTAGGTACATATTTATGCATGTTTGAAAAACAAGTATTAAATATAAGAAATAAAACATTTACTATTCTCACTATAAAAAAAACTTAATATTTATTTTAATTATCACCTTTGATATGATTAAAACACTATTATTATTATTATAAAGTTTATTGATTGATTTTAAAGAATAACTTTAAAAAGTCTCTATACAGATAATTTGTTTTTTTTTTATTTATTTTTCTTGATATTTAGTTAAAATATCTTTTAACGGAAAGACGCAGCCATTACACGATGAAAGCCGAAACGTAACAGTGGAAGTATACAGAAATAAAACTACATAGAGCTCCCTAAGAGCTCTGCCAGCTGAAATACATTAAATATGTTTTTTGTGCTGTTAGCAGGGCACACTCAAAAAGTTAGTGGCAGTTCGACTACAACAAGAGACGTATAAAACAAAAACAACAACAGTAATTTCGATTTTGTAAAAGTGGATGATGGTTGGTTGGGTTGTATCAGACGGTTTGTTTGGTTTCTGTTGCTTTTGGGATTTTTTTGTTTTTGTGTGTTTGTTGCGCTACACACCTATATAACATACAACACTGAATTTTACGTACAAATAAAGAAACTGAAAAAACAGTTCATATATTAACTTGTGATTTAGCTCTAAAGCTTTTAGATCTTTGCAGTTGTTGCTACTGTGCCGCTTGCTTTGCACGAAATGCATGTCAATACAAAATGCACTGGTTTGAACCAAACTTGAACTCGTAAGCATGAATAAATGCATAAGTTAACTATTTCACATTCATTCCTAATTAATCTCAAACTAGGAAATTACACTGGAACAATTTGCCTTTTCGTTGCAAAATGTTAAAATATCATATATACATTTTCTAGACATGCTACAAATACAAGCATGAATTCGGATAGTATTTTTTGGTAACTTTAAATGTTTCCATCTAAAATGATAATTTGGTTCATTCTAAGATATTTGGGGCAATAGGTTAAGAGGTTTTCCAATTTTACGCAAAGGAATAATACAAAATTCTGATACTGAATGAAATAAAATCATGTACATACCTATATGCAGATCGAATATTAAAGTGTTAAAGTGTATTATTATTAACATGAAATATTTGAGATGAAAATTCGTTTATCGATTAATAACTTTTCGTACCATTTGTTAATGTCTATTATTTGCCCTTAAAACATCTTAAATACCTACATACCTATATTCGTTAACCTTAAACTTTCTTATCGGAAGTATAATTAATTAATATTTTAAACGTTTCTTCAGTTTCTTATGCGTTTAGGATTATGAGTTGTCAGAAATCATATTACCAGATATTGGCCATAGTTGACCATAGCTACCACATAGGGTTTATTTCCAAAAGTACTTCAGATTACTATAGGGTATCGGTAAAGTCGAACTGAAATGACTTTGTTAATTGGCTAATTAAAATAAATAAATAAAACGATATTTTTTTTAAATCAAAACACTTTTTTACATTGAAATTTATAAAAGTTCAGGCTATTGGGTATAAACCAAAATCTTAAGAAGTCCAACAACAACTTTCTCTCTACTATACCTATGCGAAAGAAACTTTTCGTAAAGAACCTGCAACAACTGCTATAATTATATTAATTTATAATACAAAACATTTTTCATTAGCTAACAATAACAATTATTGAAATTAATTAAATATTTACACATTCTTGTTAAAAATTTATAGGTATTTATACTATATATTTTTCTTTACCACCTGAAAAATATGCAAGATATGGGAAAAATCAAAACACAACAAATATAAAGTATATCAGTTTAACAATTCACCACACCCCTACAACACAATCGTATCAACAAAAGAAAAATATACACACACAAACATCAAACGAAATTAACATCAAATTTTCAATTCATTCTTTTGCGAAAAATCCATAGTATTTTTGATAAACTTCAATTACTTACCACTTAGTAAAGTTAAAATAACAATTTTATATAAAAATTTGTATTTTTAAACCACTTTTTACTTAAAAAAATTAAATTTTTCAATAGACAAAAATGCAAAACACAACGAGTTGTTCGTTCGAACACAAACGAATGAAAATAAAATGGCTACTTTTCTACACAGAGTTGTTATCACTATGAGCTGCCAGATTTTGATTTGACGATATATCAACGATTATGTTATGACGATTTTTGGTTTCAAAAGTAGCAAAGTGACGTTTTAAATTTGACGATTTTTAGAAAGTTTATAGAGTTTTAATTACTTATAATGTTATATCTGTGCTTATAATAAATAATATGTACAGAGGAAAATTGTGTTAAGGCAAGGTTGGAAAACGTTTCTAGACGGTGAAAAGATGTATCGATATTAAAAATTATTTTGGAAACGGTGTTTAAGCGGTATTGGTATATTGGCTTATTTCGGTAACGGTATTGGTATTTTAATACCGCGAAATCGATGATATGCTAAAAACGTGTTTTAGTAATTTTTATTCTACCACTCTGTTGTTGTCCCAACAAATTTAATAACGGAAACTTTATTTAAGCGGTATCAGTATTATGGGTTATTTTGGTAACGGTATTTTAGCGTTATCCGTATTTTTTGAAAATTTTAAGAATAGAGTTTTAATTACTTATAATAAATAATATTTACAGTGGAAAATTGTGTTAATGCAAGGTTGGAAACCGTTTCGAGACGGTGAGAAGATAGCGGTATCGGTATATTGGCTTATTTCGGTAACGGTAATGGTATTTTAGCATTACAATTTTTTGCTTATTTAGATATCGGTTTTTAAGCGAAATCGGTGGCACAGATATAACTTTGTGATCGGTGGTATACAACAGAAATTACAGAATAATTTTCCTCTTTATTTATTCTATACCACTGCGTTGTTGTCATAACAAATGTAATAATGGAGACGTTATTTAAGCGGTATCAGTATTGTGGCTTATTTTGGTAACGGTATCTTAGCGTTATTCGTATTTTGTATTATTTCGGTATCGGTATTTTAGCAATAACGCTATTAAAAGAAAATATTACATATGAAAGGCCTTTAAAATGCAAACATTTATGTGCGATTACAAATGTATTAAAAAATTTTGAATTTTTCGAAAAAAATTTGTTTTTGAAATTTTTACAGATTGCAAAAAATTTGAATTGCTACATATTACATAACATAAATTACATATCATACAATTTCCCCGACATGGTTTTTTTAAAAGTAATTTAATTAAATTTTAATCCAGATTAAATTTTCACATTATATCAAAAATGCTTATTATTCCTTTGCGTCAAACATGAAAAAAAACATGGAAAAAAGGGCATATTTTATCCTTTGACCCAGCTCACAAAATATTAAACGAAGGTATCTTAACATGAATCAAGCTTTCATTTTCAGTTGGAACAACAGTACCTTATTTTTTCCCATACAAATGGCGCCACATTAATTTACATATGTAAATATAAACTAATTTGGCCGGTCGAAATACAGTTTTTAAATTTTAAATTTAAGCATTTTTTAATGATATTTACATCTGTGCGATTTGATATTTATTATTTTAAATACAATTAAGACCTCAACTAAAGTACTGAATTTCGAATACTAAAAGTTATAATGGCTGAATATTCAATTAATATAGGATTAAATAACATCGATAATAAATAGAATAATATATTGAATGTCCATCACAAAAAAATGGCAAAACTTTGTGTTAAATATTTCAAAAATTTGTGTTTTCTCCAACTTAATCAATAACATTTTCATCTTGTGAAGTTCGATTACAATTTCTGGGTGATGTTGCCGTCTGCGTAGTGAAATTTCGATCATTCCTTTGCATTACATTTCTTAAATTTGTGCGTTGAGTTTCTGTGCTTCCATACATGTCATAGACCTGTGAAACTCCTAAATATGTTGTAATACCAACAAGAGCAAAAAATATTAAGACTATTCCCACAGCTCCTAACAGGCCCAGCATTATCATGGTTAAGATGGTTAAAAGAGTTCCTAGAAGGGAAAACACATTAGAATATTACGATTTTCTGATATTTTGATTATTAATAATAGCAAACTCACCTTCTAATACTAAAAATCCCGTAAAGGTCATAACAATTGTTGATAAGGCAAATGCCATAAACAGTAAAACTGGCAATGAAGCCACCAAGCCAGCCGCTACTAAACAAATTGCCAGATGAGGATGCTGTACACACCATTGTGCAAAACGATCAAATATTTGATAACCTCCCAAATCGACCATGATTAAGTGGAACAACCATTTTATTTGGTAGCCTGTACATTATTATTGACATTTATAAATAGCCAAAAAAAATTTGGAAGGATAACTTACATAGTTTTTGAGAGACATCCATTAACATTTTCAATAAAATCTCCTGACAATCTTCTGGTTTTGGGTTAGGGTCCGTATTTGACTTTGTACGATTTTGCCTTTGCGCATCATCTTTGTTGGATTTTATATGTTGTTTGCTGTTCTCTTCGGTTACATTTATATCTCCTCCCTCGTCATCTGATGAACTGGCTGAGTTGACCTCATCGTTTAATATGATCTTTGGATTATTCCAATATTATAATGATTTAAGGCAAAACATAAAATTGATAATTTACCATTTTATCCGTTTATTTATGTTTTTAATAAGACGAAAATCACGAAAAAAAAAATATTTACAAATTCATATCAATTTATTATTGTTATACTTTGTTTCAATGCGTTGTTGTTTTTATTGTAGCAAGGCGAATTTATACAAAATAAAGGCGTTTAACAGCTGATAGTTTTCAGTTTATGCTTTTATATGCCAAAACTGTCAAACTTTATATTGAAAAAATGTTTCTAAAACTAATGCTGTCAAAATACATACATAAAAAGTGCAATGTATTTGTCACTACTGTCATCTTATTAACGTCTTCTTGGCAAAGCATCTTCTCCGTAGAGTAGCCAGACTTCTTACATAAGCAAATGAAAGCTTGTACAAACATAATTACCGTTATTCATTAACAAAATACATAAAGATGTTTCATATTCAAAATCAACAAATTCGATTGATAAAAAACGGAGATATGAGCAAAATTCAGAAGCAACTCATGAAAATATTAAGCTATATATTGATTTTGGGATAAAATTATACTTGAATATATTTTCTATATATACAAATTCTGCGAAATATTTTTCGGAACGGCCCATAATTGTTTATAGCTTCCATATAAAGTCCACGTAGTAAAATTACTTAATCGTAAATAACTCATGAATTGGTATTAATATTGGGATTAAATTCTACACCAATATGTTTTGTATATATTTTTCCAGATCGGTCCATAATTTGTATCAAAATTTATAAAATGTAAATTTCTACAAATAATCGTCGTGTTATAAAAAATTAGCATATAAGTGAAGGGTATTTAAGATTCAGCATAGCCGAATATAGCACTCTATCTTATGTATATTGGAAATATGATAAAATAAACTATCTCGCTGAATTAGCATTACTAGTTATAAGACAATTGAATCAGGTGGTATCATTCATTTATTTTAGAAAAGCCTACTGTCAATCCTACTTGTGTTTGTTGTACACCAATAACAAAACTAATAGGAGAATTTGACAGATCTAAGCTCTTTTACAAAAACAAAATGACTGTATTTTCCTTTCCCTGGCAAACTAGTACCATCTTGTTTAAGGAATATTTTCCAATTAGTAAAATAAAACAACCGGCTAATTTTCACACAGTTATTAACTATTCAACTGGTAAGAGCAAAAAGCGGAAAATACTTCTCGTATTTACATAATAATCTAAAATTCCACCCTCCCTCCTTACAATCATTATTAAATTTGTGTGTAAGTGGAAAACTTTAAAGGAGAGGGAGTGGCTTTAGCAAGTGGCGTGACCCCTAAAGAACATTGTATATGTACATTAATGCATATTTTCTTGTGTGTACACGACTTCTTAATAATTAAACTTTATCCAAAAATTGATTTTATTATAAATTGAAGAATAATATATATTTTTATTTCATTTACAGATTTAATACGCACAAAGTTAGTTAGATTTTTGTACTATAACCATGGCCACTCAAGAGGTAAATAAAATACAGTGTACCTAATTTGTTTAGATTATAAATAAATTTATGTTTAATTCTTATCATATTGTACTTTGTACTATTTAAGTTAAATTTTCTTTAAAATTACACGTGTTAAGTTTTTATCTTTGGGTAATCTTATAATCTTTATTTTACTTTTATTCCCATAGGAATTCAACAAAGCCGCTGAAGATGTAAAAAATTTGAACTCTACACCCGCCGATAATGATTTATTAGAATTATACAGTTTGTATAAGCAAGCTACCGTAGGCGATTGTAATACTGGTATGTACATATCCAAGTTTTGTTTAAGTATCTAGATAGATTTGTATAAATGTAGCTGGTAGATTTTAAATGCGTTACGAATGATAGGACATTCTCCCAGTATTCTTAAATATGTCCATTAATAATGGAGATATGACCAAAATTCCGAAACAATCCATGAAAATATTACGCATTTTTCTCATTCTTGATTAGTTTTTTTAGAAACTATAGCTCCTAGTTCAAAAACAATCCTTAGATTATATACTAGACTATAGAGACTAGAGTATATGGACTAGACTATAGTCTAGATCATGATACACCCATATTATTGTTTTATGGTCTAGACTCTAGACTATAGATTATACTATAGACTAGATTACTGCATTATAGAGTAGACTATTGACTAGACTATAGACTAGTCTATAAACCATTGCTTAGCATGTGGACCATTTACAAAAAAAAACTGAAAATCTTATAAAGGACCTTTTTATCATTTGGTTCAGTTCAGTAAACATTTTTGTAGGGATCCTACGATCGCTACAAACTAAAATTTTCCCTCTATATGGAACTTATAAGAGATTATCAATTAAAATTATGTATTTTTATTAAGCGAGATTATCATGTCATTAACATCTACGAGAAACAACATTGTTACATGTATTATTATTGCCCGCTATCAATAAATTGATAACGAACAAAATTTAATATATACTTAATTGATTGCGTTAAATGTATGTACAGGGTGGTTGTATAAAAACTGTTATTTTAAAAGCAAAATTTAAATTAATATTGTTATTATGTGTGTGAAGTAATTTTTATTAAACAAAATTATTATTCATTAACTTTTTAGATAAACCTGGATTTTTGGACTTCAAAGGAAAGGCCAAATGGGAAGCATGGAATAATCGTAAGGGTATGTCAACTGCCGATGCTACTAACGCTTACGTAGAAAAAGTTAAAGCTTTAGTCGCCTCCGTTGGTCTTAAGGCCTAAAAAGCTGATAAATTATTGTTTACAACGAATATTTTGCAACAAGAGTCCAGTTTTATTTTTTATTAAATTATATTAATTTTAGCATTTATTACAAAAAAAAAAAAAAAAAAGAAATAAATGATCAAATAAATACACATTAGAGTAAATTTATAAACATGCAATAAAAATTGCACATTTTCATTAAGGTATAAAATAAAGTAAATACCTTTTTTTAATGTTTTGAAAAAATAAAGAAATGTGAAATATTAATGTTTTTTTTAAATTTTCGCAAGTATTTTTGTAGGTGTGATTATTTGGTATACAAATTGTTGTATACACACAGTTTTTGTGACTTGTGAGTGTTAAATGGGGGAATGTGTGTGGCAAAAGAGAAATTCAAATATAATTTATTTAGTATCTAGGTTCGCTGTTTGTTCATTATTTTGCGTTGTAGCAGTATTATTATGCTTAACACTTAAAGCTCTTTGGCGTTGGTAAAATTCTTTTTGCAATTCTCTTAAATTAATTTCTAATGTCTCGACAACATCAAAGTTCATATCCTGTCTGGCTTGCTTTATATAACCTTTGATTATATTTATTTGCTCCACTAAAGGATCATCACTTTGCACTAGGCCAGCTGTACTGATTTGATGAGCAGTCCAGTTATCCAAAGAACGTAAATCGGACTAAAATTAAATAAAGAAAAAAATAAATTAATTAAAAGATATACATACATACACATGTTTAAAAATGTAGTTAAAACTTGCCCCTTGCGCATAATCGCCACTTTTTAAACTTGTACTTTCTGAACTGGAGGCAGCTGCCAAACCATATCTTTCATATGCCTCCATAGCTTGTCTGCGTTCTGTGGCTATACGTAATTCTGCTTCCATACGCTTACGTTCTTGTATCTTACGTATTTCCTCCTCCTTTGGCAGAGGTGGCAGTGAAAGCATTTTTTCTTTTATCAATTGTATACAAGATAAACGTATGGCCTTCTTTAGACTCTCCTCTCGAGTGCCCGGTTCACAAGATATGGCCAAAATACGCTTACTAAGTACATCTATCGCTTCGGCAACTTGTCCAATTTTACCACGCAGCGCACTGGCATCGTTTAAAGTAAATATGGACTCTCCCTCATAGAGACTGGCTATGATTTTCAAATACATTTCTATGTCGGGCATAACATTTTTACGCAATTTCTGTATATCTGCATAAATGTGTGTTATGGGTGGACGACATGTACGACTTTCGTGCATTTCCTGTCGTGTTTCTAAAAGCCATAGACAGTGATCACAGGAACGTATACCACTTTGTTGGGGATTAGAGGAACTGGTGGCATTCTTTTCATCTGCGGTTTGTTTAAGAGGTTCACTGTGTGTCATTGTAAGACTGGCTAATTCCACTAAAAAACATTCAAAGGATATTTTAATTTAAAAAAAAAAAAAAAAAAAATTTTATATAAACATTTGTTTAATAAAGAGGTTTTCATGGTTTAAATTATTTATCGTTTTAAATTTCTTACGATTTGTTTCACCAAAAACTCCATTTTTTTAAATTTTTCCTCACAAATAAAATTTTTATTTAACGTTCTATAAATTAAGCGCTTTTTTATACATTAAATGTAAAACTTTTATTTTGATCATGATTTCGTATGTCATAGCATCATATATTTATGTTTCTTTATAAATCTTAATATATGTATATTAGGGTGATCCCAAAATGGAAGTTGCTGATATTCTTGCCGAGAACAAAATTTAGTTCATTCTAAAATGCAATATCATTTTTTTGTCTTGACGTCAATATAAGGTTTTTATGATTCTTTCTGTATTTCTATATATCTTTATACACGTAATTTCTTAAGCTTTTCATTGATATATAACACTTTATGATTACATTGGATTATCGAAAAAAGGACCCTTTAATCCTAGAGAAATTTTAACTTTGAAACCCAGACCCATTGTCTGCGTATAAGCTCATTCATAAAGCTCACCCAAACACAACAGTTTGAGTTATTTAAACGTTCAATTCTATTTTGGGAACACCCTGCTTTGTATATAGTGTATATATTTACAAATAATTTATTATACTAGATTTTTTTATTAATGATGATGGCCAAATGTTATCACTAATGGTAATAATGCGCCAAATATCATTATAATAAGTTCACTGCAGCTCAAACCGTTTGATGGGACGATTTGTGTTGGCAGGTCGGCATTCTCTTCAAGCAGACGATATTGGGAAGAATGCGATGAGGCATGAGAATGTCCACCTTGTGTTAATTCGGGTAAAACATGAACTGTTGCTACATATAAAAAGGTGCCCGCCGAAAAGAGCATAGCTATGCCAGTGGCATTGACAGAATTTAAGGTTTCCTTTTGTTCTTGTCCAATGCCAAAGTAGGTGAGTAGCGTTAAGAGAGGGGCCGATAAAGAGAATATTGCTAAATGTTTGCGTATCTGTTGTCGTTCGATTTTTTCATGCAGCAAAAAACTGACTAGTCCAAAAGCGGCTGGTGCTTTATGCAGCATAATTGCTAGGAACACTATCATTTCGACGTCTTTGTGACTGGTAGTGGCAGCTGCCCCCAAAGCCACACCATCAGCAGCAGCATGTACCACCAAACCCAAGGTCGCTGTTATGTTTTTATCGCTGGGAGATGATTCTTTTTGTCGTTTTTGTGATATTTGATCCACCAGCATCATAAAGACAAAACCCAATACTAACGACAAACCAATAGTGCGAGAATGATCCTTTTCCTCGTCGTGCGAATGTAAAGTAGGTGCTTCTGCTGTATTGGCGGTAGTTTTAGTTAACATTGGTGTTTCCACTTCTGTGTATAGAGATCTTATGCCTTCAGGTATAATAACAGTTAAGGCTGTGCCTACTAATAGGCCCGCTCCCAGGACAGTAACTAGTTTGAGCTTTTTCTCACTTAACTTCATTACTAGTGGTATACTGCCTGCCATATATGAACCCACTAACATCACTATTACTAGCATAACTAACATAAATGTTTCCTCTGTCATTTTGGCTTTTTTAGATGTTTCTGTTCTGTGGGGTTGTATTATTAACTCCAGCTGAAGATTTATTATATTTTTAGTAGATATTTACATCCGTTAGTTAGTTTTTCTCATTTGGGAGATTCTTGTTATACTTTCTTTTGGCTAACTGGTATATTTTATCAATTTTGTTGTTGTTTTTTTGCCACGTTATCTTTTGTTTTCTCGTCAGATTTTTATTGTACAAATTATTTTGTATACATAGTTATTTCTGTAGCTATATGATTACAGAATTTATTTCAACTATTTACTAATGGATAGTCGGCGTTTAATATTTTATAAAAACTTAACAAATTAAAACATTTTTCTTTTCATTTTTGTTATTTTAAACAAATTGTGTGTAGTTTTTTCTTTTCTTTTACTATTTTCTTTTTTTTTTTTTTGTTGTTTTGGTTACTCCTATTTTATTTCTGAACGGTTGATTATTTTTGTAGTAGATAAAAAAAGTACTTTAATAACAAACTGAAATGCAACTGAATCTTTTGGAATAACGGTAAAAGAAAAAAATTGTTTTTAAAAACAGTAAATAACAAGTCAGACTTCAATATTCGTCTATGTCGAATCTTAAATACCCTTTGCATAGTTTTTTATTAACATGTCGAATATTTACATAGAAATTAACATTTTATAAATTTTGATAGCTTAAATAATTAACAATATTATTATGGAAACTATGACCAATTATTTATTTATTCATTACTGTAATATAAAAGCCTCATTAGGCCAATTAAACTATATTACAAAGATAGAAAATGCCTAAATATCAATTAAACAAAATTGCTTATACCTAAAAAAAAAATCTCAAATAATTACAAGCCCTGGATCCCAAGCGAAAAAGGTAGGTGATAAATCAAAAGTTAAAGAACTCGATCCCAATGAATTACATAATAGAACTTATCACAATGAAAGGAAAGTGTAGATATACAAACTGTCCACACTAATGGTAAGAAGAATTGGTAAGAATTGATAACAGTTTCGGAAGGCAAAATTGGAATGGGAAAACAGGAGCAGTTCAAGTTGCAAATAGTTCCAACACCGGACAATTCTCACTAAAAACTACTTTTCAAAGAAAGAATTATTAATTATGGGTCGGTCCGGTAAAAATTTCGCTGAATAATTTTTGTATGTACACAACATATTCGTGATTAATTTTGGCCCGATATGTTTGTTAATAAATCATGATCGTTGAATTCATTTTTGTAAGTGGACCTTATTACGATTTCTATTACCATTCGATATATGTATGTATGTGCAAAATTTTGTGGTGATACCGATATTTTAGAGGGATTTATAAACAATAAATCCTCTTTACGAGAATATACAAAATTAGATGTGAGCTATATGAAATTTTGAATCGATTTGAATAATTTTTTGCCATTTTAATCGTACAACGAAAGAAAAAACTTATGATAAAGTTTAATACATATATATGTTCATGGGTTGTTTCGGAATTTTGCTCATATCACGGATTTTAAATAGCTAACTTCTCGAATGAATTGTTGAAGAACAATATATTATGGCTAAATATAGTTTAGAAATAGACTACTGATATTTGAATACTCCCTCCTATACAAATATAAAATATTTCCGTTTAAAACAATTTTCACTGAGTTAACAATTATCTTTGGTCGAATAGGTATGAGTCATATTGTATGACACTGTTCGTTCGAAAAAATTATTTTTTTTTAGTTCTGATCATTATGTCTTCCATGTTAATAATATTTAGGAAATAATAATTTAATATATATATTTTCTATACTTACATGCCGTATCAAGAGGTAAAAATTTAGAACAATCATGGCACATTATACTGCCACACAAACGACAATGATGTTGGCGTCTGGCAATGTGAAAACTTTTGGCACAATTTGGACACAATTTAACAGAGCTGCCATCCAGCCAAGGAACAATCTAAATTAAGGTTTAATATATTTCAATAAGTTTTTAAATTTATATGTAGGTTTTTAGTTTACATATGCCCTAAAATAATAGGAAAATCAAAAATTGGAATAAAAATAATGATTTAACGATATATGTTCATTAGGGGAGCCTAATTTTAATTTAAGTTTTCTAAATTAAAACGGGGCTGTCCTAATGTAAAAACATACGTGTAAATACTCTCAGAAATATATTCATATTTGCTGAATATACAACTTTATGAGGTTGTTCAGATATGTAAATTGTAAAAGTTACAATGGAATGACAAACTTTTTAAATATTTTATCTTAAAATTTGACTAATCGAAAAAGCTTACATTTTGTTCATGTTGTTTTCGCAATACTGCATCCGAAGGCATATCCTTTAAGAGTTTGTGTAGTCTTATAATCAATTTATTTGTTTCACTCGCATAACGTTCCAAGCGAGGATTTCTTATAGATTGAAAATACTCTGTGAGCGACTGTTCCACACCGACCTCCTGATGATCCATGAAATTGAAAACATTCATGCGCGAACGAGCATTGCTGGTTTCACGTATGTTAGGCTCACCTCCACTGCGGGAATTGGATATGGTGGCATTTTTCTCTAAGTTACGTGACAAGTCAAAATTGATTTTCTTCTTAGCTTTGCTAAAAATGTCCTTAAACAATGTCCGAAGATCGTCATCTTCAGCATGAGCTTTGTCGAAATGGTCGGTAAGAAATTCGAGGGATTTTAAATCCTCACGACAGATGGGACAAATAAAACCTTCAAGTATAGCACCATCGATATCGCTTTCATCAGGTTCACCAAATGGATTTGACATAATTGTTAGATTTTATAAGAAATTAAATACTTAAACAATAAATCCACCTCCTTTTAACTACTGCAACTACTTTTATTCCACTTTGCTTTGTATTATTTTTTCATATACAGCTGATTTTGGCATATTCTTTTGTGGTGTATTATTTGCTGTTAACTGCCTCTAGATGGCGCTTCGAAACAAGCAAAACAAAATAAAAAACACTTGTTTGTTATAACATATCTGTTTTTGTTTTTAGTTGGAAATGTCAAATTACCTGTCAATCTTGTTATTGTGAATTTATTTATTTTATATCGTCATTACTTTCTTTTCTGTGTGTTATTCTCTGTTAAAATTTTTTGCAATGCAAATTTTATTAAAATAAATCATTTATAAAATGTGAAATTATTAAAAACGTATAAATTAGTTGACATACTACAAGTGCATTATAAAAATTTTCAATTATTTATTAACTAAAAGTGAAAAAATCAATGTTTATATTGTAATTTGTGGGCTGCGGAAGTACAACTACTACAACAACGTAATACATATTTTTTAACTACATAAAGACGTTGTGTGTGTGTGTGTTTTATTTAATAAACTGTATTTAAGAAACAACTTTATAAATTGAAATAATAGTAAAAGGTAAGAGGGGTAGAGTGGCTACAAACAAATAATTAATTTTTAGAATCAATTTCTTTTCAAATTGTATTATTCAACTTATTTATATTTATCGAATTTGTCGATTAATTCGAAGGAGTGTGTTGTAATATACAAGCTTTTTTAACAAAATTGGTGACAAATATTTTGCGTTTTTTTGTTGTATTTTTTGTATTAATACAAAATTAATTTGTCACAAGGCCAAAGGTGTTGAATTTTGTTGGTATAGTTTTTTATTTATAGTTTTAAATTATTGTACATTGCAAGTGCTTCTACAAAGAGTGTTGTTTAATAGTTTCGTTCGTTTTTTTGTTGTTTTTTTTGCCAGCCTACCTGGCCGCCAGCTGAGTTGAGAAGTAGTAAGTACTTCTGTGCAAAGGTAACACCAATTGCTAGATAGATAAACATACAGGTGCTTTGTGTTTTTGTTTATTAGAAACATTAAGAAGTCTATATCCAACAGCATCTGTTTTTTATCTGTTTGGTGGTTTTATTTGTTTTCTGTGAGGTTGTGAAGCATCGAAGCATTGAAGTCAAACTCATAAACAATTCAACCGCTAACTCTAGCCAGGCAGCCAGCCAACTAGTCTGACTATTTCTCTCTTATTAACACTAAAATGTTTCAACATCGCACAGAGTTTCTTAAACTTCTCAAATTTGAGGATATTCGCAAACAATTAGTTATAATTAACATTTCAATAAAACAACGAATACCAAAAATTTATCTGCCAACTGTTAACTGACCATTAAGCTTAAAAATATTCATACCTATTAAATATTTTATTATTACAGAACGAACATTTTTTGAAAAGGTTATTTTTGTTTCATACTTTTTCAAGATAAGATGTTCACTGAACTTTATATTTTTGCTTCACCAGTTGTTTGACATTTCATTTATAAATTTACATATTTAAGTAATATTAAGCGCAACGAATCTTAAATTATATTAAAAAATAATTAATTTAGTATAAACAATTTTTATCTTTTTGTATTCTTAAAAATTTGCCATTTAAATTTTACGTTTGTGAATATCTGCAATATTTATATCAAATCAGGTAGTACCTATATTAAAACATACATTCAAAAATTTTGTGGGATTTTCCATTTGCTTTTACTGTGCAGTTATTTACTATGTAGTAGTTGTTAATTATTTTGATTTGATTTTATTTTTATTCCAACATTTTGCTTTATTTATAAACTTTTATATTTGTATAGCTGTGTTAGTATCTCTAGCATTTTATACGTTTGTTTGTTAGTTTTTTGTTTGATGCGAGAAATAAGACAAATATTGCAACATCCAGCACACACAATAAATTATAACCGTAGCAGTTGCACACGTTGGAACTTAACACTAAAGTTTTGTAAACAGAATACATACATTGTGGTATTGGCAAAACAATGGAATTGTTAAAGAATATAAAAAACTCTTTCCTAGGTGCATTAAAATTTCAAATATTAATCGTCAACTTTAATAATTATTTAACAAGCTTTATAAACATAACAAATTTTCTTATCATTTTTTAGAAACGCTTAAAATTTGCATCACGTCATCATTATCATCGCACACTACAAATAAAATAATTAAAATAAAAGTACGTATATTTATATAAAAAAAAGCGAAACAAAAACATCGAACAAAATAAATAAAATAAAAATAAAAATAAAAAATTATAAGGCAAACAAACACCACAGTCAATTATAAATATTACGTCCCCCCATTTTACAATGAAACGTCGCCTAAAACTTGTGATGATGATAAACTAAAATAAGCAGCACAATATACATAAATGTACATTTAGTTAACACACATACGAATACGTTACGGTACGAGTCCGAGTCCAAATACGATTATGCAGTACATATAAAGACCATAGAGAAGAGAATCAAAATATACAATAATAATTCTATCTAGATACAAACATACATATAAATAATATACTTTATACATTTACATTTTGTATGTTATATGTTAATATCCAACCATTTGTGAATATAACATAGTTTTCATTGTTATTGTTAGCGTTAAACAA